ACCAGGAGGGAAAGACCCAGTGAAGCCAGGTGGGCGGCGCAGCCAGATCTCCTCGTGCAGGCTGCCCTGCAAGAAAGCAGTGCTGAAGTCGAGAGAGTGCAGCTCGTAGTCACGGTGAGCAGCAACGTGCAGCAGTACCCGAAGAGTGGTCATCTTCGGGGTGGGGGAGAAGGTCTGAAAGTAGTCAACTCCCTGCCGCTGACTGAAGCCACGAGCCACGTAACGCGCCTTGAAGACACGCGGAGAACCCGGCGGCCGCTTCACCCTGAAGATCCACATGCCACTGACTATGTTCGCCCCAAGAGGGGGAACAGCGTCAACGTAGGTGCCTGTGGACTTCCAAGAAGCCATCTCTGCATCCATAGCTGCCTGCCACTGAGAGGAGTAGGGACCCTCTATCGCCTCCGCGTAAGAGCGCGGAGTCGGGATGTCTAGTGCATCCGGGTCTCCGTCAGGGGTGAGCAGTACAGACGCGAGATGAGGTGAAGCGGCGGCCAGACACTGGAACTCCTCCTGCGTGTCCTCAAGGACGTCCGTGCCAAGGGCACACTCACCCCCGACGGACGGAGGACAGGTAGACTCAGACTCAGCGACAAGACTAGCAGCGTAGTCTAGACGACAGCACGCAGCAAAGTCGCCGAGCTCAGTGACAAGAGCAGACGCAGCAGAAGACTCGAAAGAAGGGTTAGTGACGGCAGTAGCAAGGAGACGCGTGACAGTAGGACTGGCAGCACGAAGAGAGTCCGACTCCGGGTCGGCAAGAACAGGAAGAGAGGAAGCAGGAGGAGAAGGCAAAAGGGCACGCAGAGGAGCAGTAGACGGACGGAGAGACATCCGGTGCGTGCCAGAGACAGGAGGAGGACGCTGACGCGAACCGCGACCACTAGTGTGCGCAGCACGAACAGGCGACGCAGGACGAGACGCAGGCTCACGACGCTCAGTAAGACCTCCAGTCGGACCAGCGTAGGGAGAAGGAGCAGGCAAAGGGGAGGCAGGCTGTAGCTGTGACTGTGATTGGACAGGCTGTAGACCCTCTAAGGGAGGAGGAGGAGGACCAGGAGAAGGTGGAAGACCAAGAACCTGCTGCAGGAGTGGAACGAAGTACGGTCGGGGCCGCGTGGCGACGCCAGAAACAGCAGGGACAGCACCAGTACCCCCAGCAGGAGTACCCGCTCCAGTAGCACCTCCAGTGGCTCCAGAACCCCCAGCAGCACCCCCAGCAGCCCCAAAACCTCCAGCAGCACCAGGAGCACTGCCAGTCGGACCGCCAGCGGCAGTCTCAGCGCCAACACGCTCAGCAGCACCAGCTCCAGGAGAACCCGCAGGCCCAGCAGCTCCAGTAGTCCCAGTACGAGCACCGCCGGGACGCGCGGCAGCAGCACCCTCAACAGCAGAAGAACCTCCAGCACCAGCAGCACGCCTCCAGCGCCGGGCAAACCACTCACGCAGCTCCTGTGGGGAGAGTGGCTCTCGGCGAGACGAAGCACCCGGAGAACCTCCAGGCGAAGAACCTCCAGTCTCAGCACCCCCAGGCTCAGCACCCCCAGGCGCAGCACCTCTAGTCTCAGCACCCCCAGGCTCAGCACCCCCAGGCTCAGCACCCCCAGGATGAGCACCCCCAGGCTCAGCACCCCCAGGCTCAGCACCCCCAGGCTCAGCACCCCCAGACTCCGCACCCCCAAGCTCCGCACCCCCAGGCTCAGCACCCCTAGGCACAGCACCCCCAGTGACAGCATCCCTAGGCTCAGCACCCACAGCAGCACCAGAGGCACAAGTGACCTCGACACGCTCAACTGCGTCTACCTGGGACACACCTGAAGGGGCAGGACCCTGAGGGGGAAGGGGGCCTACCGGGGGGGGACCTGGGACAAGAAAGAGCGGAGGTGGGGGGAGGGACGGAGTGCGGTAGGGGAAGAGGCGGTAGTAGGGTACCGACTCGTCGAACGTGACGTCCTAGGAGGACAGAACACGGCGAGAGGTGGGGTGGTAGAACTGCCACCAAGGGGCGTCGGGGGGGAACCCCAGGAAGACGCAGGGAGCAGCGCGAGGGGACAGCTTGTCCGCAGACAAGTCGCGGACAAACGCCCGAGATCCCCAGACCCGGAACGCTGACGCATCGCCAACCTTCCCCGTCCACAGCAGGGCTGGGGAGGTCTCCGGCCTAGAGACCCTGGGGTGGAGGTTGATCTGATGCGCCGCGTACCTGACCGCAAACGGCCACAGAAAATGGGGGGCAGCCGCATGCATCATAGACGTACGAGCGACGTCCATGACCATGCCAATGCGGTGCTCTGCAATCCCATTTTGCTGCGGTGAGTCCGGAAGCGTGAAGGTCTGACGGATGCCTCGCGCACGACAGTAGGCACGCAGATGGCCAGAGGAGAACTCTCCGCCTCTGTCCGAGTGCAGACGCAGCACAGGAAAGTCCGAGCCAAAGCTCTGCCTGAGCTGGAGACGAGCTGCGCGGATCCAGTCGATCAGCACCTCAGTGACATCACCCTTGCTGCGCAAGGGGAAGGCTGTGGTGTAACGCGAGTAGTCGTCAACCACCAACAGGAAGTAGCGCTCGTGACCGAGTCCACGGACGCGGGCAGGGCCCCACACGTCCATGTGAAGCGTCTGCAACGGAGCCTCTGTCGGAGGAAACTGGGAGGAGTGAGGGGCAGCACGCTGGTGCCCCTCGACACAGGGGACACAGGCAGGGCCAGGGCCCTGAGGAAGGGGAGGGAGGGACCGGGGGAGACCAGACACAAGAAGACGGGAGGCCATGCCTCTGAGCCAAAGCAGAGAGGGGTGACCCTGGCGGTGGTGCCAGAGGAGAGTCTCGTGAGACAGGCGACGACACGAACAGGGGGCAGACTCAGGACCAGACCTGGACGCCGCAGCAGACACCTGACCTGACGAAGGGACCCTACCAGACTCAGGAACTGGAGGAGAAGCAGTGGTCAGTGTGTACAGGCTCGACCCTGGCTGACGTGTAAACGTAGCCAGGTGACGACCTGTGCTAGCCTCTGTGCAGTGCGTCACCCGCTGACGAGCAGGGGTGGACTCCCGCATCCTGTAGGTCAGCACCACTCACCAAGTTTGTAGAGAACAAGGGGAGGTAGAGACCAGACAGGGTGCCAGAGGGAGCCGCCGGACACGGGAGGACTGTGGAGAAGCGAGACAGGACAGGACCCCCAGAGGGGTCAGCCAGGGACACCGCAGCCGGCCGACTAAGCGGCGTGAGTGTGGTGCGGTCCCGAAAGAAGGAGCGAGACGCTCCAGAGTCAAGAGTGAAGGTGTGGGAGGCCGAGGCCGACGCAGTACCTGAGAGCGCAGACTCACTAGTACCTGAGAGAGTAGCCTCACCAGTACCTGAGAGCACAGACGCGCTGGCACCTAGAGCTGAAGCCTCACTGACACCTAGAGCAGCAGTTACAATGCCCGGGTTGGGCGGGAAACACCGGTAACAGTCACCCTCATCACTAATGGCCACATCATACATGGCAGCAAGGATAGCATCAAAGTCAAGATCAAAGATAGCTACACCAGCCCTAAACAGCTCTCCCCAGCGGGGGATCTCCGCGGCCTCGGGGAACTGCTGGCGCCAAGCGTCCGTCAGGCGGCCAAAGTAGCGCTGGGCGGTGTGGGTACCCCCACACTGCTCTCCAGCACGGTCGCCAGTGCGAAGGACGTAGGTGCAGGGACCAAAACCCCCACCACGCTGACGCTGCGTGTACCACTCACGGAGCTGCTGAGGCGTCGGGAGGTCGCGAGAACGCTGCTGCTGCTGCTGCTGGCGCTGACCACCCCCAGTGCTGCTTCGCTGCGTAGCGCCACTCCGACCACCTCCACCACCACCACCGCCACCGCCACCGCCACCCCCGCCTTCGCCTCCACCGCCGCCGCCTCCGCCACCTCCGCTCCCACCGCCACCGCCGCCGCCACCCCCGCCTCCAGTGCTGCCACTAGCACCCCCACTCCCGCCACCACCTCCACCGCCACCCCCACTCCTTCCGCCGCCTCCACCGCCACCTCCACTGCCCCCGCTGGCCCCACCCGCTTCCTTGCCCCCCTTGCCCTTGCCAGAGCGGCGTCTCCCGCTAGGGGCAGACGCCGCACCGACCGACTCAAGACCAACGAAGTCGGCCGCAGCGGCAAAGGCGACAGAGGGCAGGAGAGGGGAAGGAGAACACCCCTCAAAGATGGGGGCGCGGGGGTCACCTCGAGAGGCTCCTACAGCGACTATGCTCTTCTCCGCCGCTAGGAGGGCCTTCTCAAGGCTGTTGACTGTGAGGGTGGTGGGACAGACCGCGAGGAAGTGGTCCCGGACTACACGAAGGGAGTCAGGGAGGCGAGTGACTAAAAAGTAGAGAGTGATGTACATGGGGGGGGGGTTCTTGGCGCAGAAGTCAGTAGGAAGCGCAGCGCGGTAGCGAGTGTCACTAGTGCGGAGGTGCGTAATGAGGTCAGCGACAGTGGGAAAGGCGACAAGGTCAGGGAAGAGGAAGGGGAGCATGAGGCGGCTCAGTGCAGCAGTGGCAGGGGAGGAGTAGCGCGCAACTACAGCGTCGTACAAGGTCTGGGCACTCTTGTACTGGCTAAAGTGCGCGCGCTCAGCGGTAGGCAGGTGGCGACGCACAGCAAGACGTGCAGCAGCATCGCGCGTGGCCCACTATGAGCGAACAGTGGCGTCAGCATCAGCAGCTGGGGCAGGGACGGCGCCAAAGGTGAGGTCAAAGAGAGAAAGACCGTCTGCCCTATCGCACTGCAAGAACAGCTGCAGGTCATCGAGCCAGACCTCAAAGTCAATGGCACGACCCTCAGCGTCAAAAGCTAGGACACTAGGGGTAGCCATGACGACAGACTAGCAGTGCAAGCAGTGCGGGAAGGGGCACGCAGTAGCAGTGGAGCTGTGCTTGTGAAACTATGAGCAGAGGAATGAATTGACTAAGTCAGAGTTGGGTACAAATACAACCCTAGCAAACTGTACCCCATATGTGCTACCCCACTATAGCCTACAAACATGCATCAGCTATAATAATCTGACACACCCCCATAGGCAAAGTGGGGGAGAACAAGGGGTCACAAGACCAGTCAAGCAAAGCAAAACAAGCTCAGGGTGGATCACAAAGTCACCACACAGTCCGAGCACAAGAGCAAGGCCAGAGGCCAGTTCACATGCAGGAGTAAAGACATATATATAAAACTAAACAAGCAAGAGCAGGTATATATATGTCAAAGTACAAGTAAAGTCAAGAAGAGAGCAAGTGAGGCAAGACAGGTACAAGACCCAGCTGGGTACAAAAGCGCTGATGGTCGCAAGGCGCAAGTGCCTTGGTGAACACATCAGCAGTGTTGGCCTCAGAGGCCACGTAAGCAAGTCGCAACTGACCACGCTGCTGCAGCTCACGAGCAAGGAAGTAGCGGAGAGCAATGTGCTTCGTTCTGTGCTCCAAGCGCTGCTCTCGACACAAGGCCAACATGGCCTTGTTGTCTACGTACAGCACTGGAGGAGAACGAGGCAGCTCTCCAAGGTCAGTCAGCAGGTAGGTGAGCCAGCGAAGCTCCTGTGCAGCCATGGCCCCGGCGTAGATCTCAGCCTCACAACTGGAGCCGAGAACCGAAGACGAGCGAGTAGACCGCCACGAGACAGAGCCGGAACCAAGGCTGAAGGTGTAACCCTGTGACGACCGCTGCGTAGCCTGGTCGTCAGCCCAAGAAGCGTCTGCGTGCCCAGTAAGGACCACTGGACTCCGCCCTCCAAGCACTAGCCCCATGCCCGACGTACTGCACAGGTAGCGCAATACCCTCTTCGCTGCAGCCATGTGCTCTGGTCGGTGTCTCCCAGGAGCAACATAGCGTGCAAGGATGCTCAGAGGGTATGCAAGGTCAGGTCGAGTGCAGGTCATCAGGTACATGAGGCAGCCAACAAGCTCTGCATACGGACCACTCGACTCTACGGACTCATCCGAAGGCAGAGCTGAGAGTGAGTGGCGAGTAGGCAGAGGAGTGGCCTGAGGCGAGGAGTACGTGAAGCCGAAGCGCTGAAGGACCTGCTGCACCATGTGTGACTGAGTCAGGGTAATGGTGCGGCGTGCTCTGTCCCGAGTGATCTGCAAGCCAAGGTAGCTGCGCAGTTCACCCAGGTCTGTGCACGTGTGTCTCTTCAGCAGCTCGGACTTCACGTAGGCGAGTCCAGCAGTGTCCGCTGTGGCAAAGACCAAGTCGTCGACGTACACGAGGATGTAGAACGGCGGCAGGGAAGTGTCGGTGCGAAGAAACAGCGACGGGTCAGCAGTAGAAGGAGCAAACCCAAGAGCCGCAAGCGTAGTCCTCAGTGTGTCGTGCCACTCACGCGGTGCCTGGCGGAGACCGTAGACTGGCCGTCGGAGGCTCCACTGGGTGCCAGGAGGGAAAGTCCCAGTGAAGCCAGGCGGACGGCGCAGCCAGATCTCCTCGTGCAGGCTACCCTGCAGGAACGCAGTGCTGAAGTCGAGAGAGTGAAGCTCGTAGTCGCGCTGAGCGGCAATGTGCAGCAGCACCCGAAGAGTGGTCATCTTCGGGGTGGGAGAGAAGGTCTGAAAGTAGTCAACTCCCTGCCGCTGACTGAAGCCACGAGCCACGTAACGCGCCTTGAAGACAGGCGGCGAGCCCGGCGGCCGCTTCACCCTGAAGATCCACATGCCACTGACGATGTTCGCCCCAGGAGGGGGAACCGCGTCAACGTAGGTGCCTGTGGACTTCCAGGAAGCCATCTCTGCATCCATGGCTGCCTGCCACTGAGAGGAGTAGGGACCCTCTACGGCCTCCGCGTAAGAACGCGGAGTCGGGATGTCTAGTGCATCCGGGTCTCCCTCAGGGGCTAGCAGTACAGACGCGAGACGAGGTGAAGCAGCGGCTAGACACTGGAACTCCTCCTGCCTGTCCTCTAGGACGTCCGTGCCAAGGGCACACTCACCCCCGACGGACGGAGGACAGGCGGACTCAGACTCAGCGACAAGACGAGCAGCGTAGTCTAGACGACAGCGCGCAGCAAAGTCGACAAGCTCAGTGACAAGGGCAGACGCAGCAGACGACTCGAAGGAAGGGTCAGTGACAGCAGTAGCAAGGAGACGTGTGACAGTAGGACTGGCAGCACGAAGAGAGTCCGACTCCGGGTCGGCAAGAGCAGGAAGAGAGGAAGCAGGAGGAGAAGGCAAAGGGGCACGCAGAGGAGCAGTGGACGGACGCAGTGACATCCGGTGCGTGCCAGGGACAGGAGGAGGACGCTGACGCGACCCGCGACCACTAGCGCGCGCAGTACGAACAGGCGACGCAGGACGAGACGCAGGCTCACGACGCTCAGTAAGACCTCCAGTCGGACCAGCGTAGGGAGAAGGAGCAGGCAAAGGGGAGGCAGGCTGTAGCTGTGGCTGTGACCGGACAGGCTGCGGACCCTCTAAGGAAGGAGGAGGAGGTGTAAGACCAAGAACCTGCTGCAGGAGCGGAACGAAGTACGGTCGAGGCCGCGCGGCGACGCCAGAAACAGCAGGAACAGCACCAGCACCCCCGGCAGGAGCACCCACTCCAGCAGCACCTCCAGCAGAACCACCAGAAGCTCCAGAACCTCCAGCAGCAGCACCAGGAGCACCGTCAGTCGGACCACCAACCGCAGGCTCAGCGCCAACGTCCTCAGCAGGACCAGCTCCAGGAGAACACTCAGACCCAGCAGCTCCAGCACCCACAGGACGAGCACCGCCAGGTCGCGTGGCAGCAGCGCCCTCCGCAGCCGAAGAACCACCAGCACCAGCGGCACGCCTCCAGCGCCGGGCAAACCACTCACGCAGCTCCTGTGGAGAGAGCGGCTCCCGGTGAGACGAAGCACCCCCAGGCACAGCACCTCCAGGCTCGGCACCTCCCGGCTCAGCACCCCCAGGCTCAGTACCCCCAGACACAGCACCCCCAGGCACAGTACCCCCAGGCTCAGCACCCCCAGGCTCAGCACCCCCAGACTCCGCACCCCCAGGCTCAGCACCCCTAGACTCCGCACCCCCAGGCTCAGCTCCCGCAGCAGCACCGGAGTCACCAGTGACCTCGACAGGCTCGACCGCGTCTACCTGAGACACACCTGAAGGGGCAGGACCCTGAGGGGGGAGGGGGACTACTGGGGGGGGACCTGGTACCAAGAAGAGGGGGGGTGGGGGGAGGGACGGAGTGCGGTAGGGGAAGAGGCGGTAGTAGGGTACCGACTCGTCGAACGTGACGTCCTGGGAGGACAGAACACGTCGAGAGGTGGGGTGGTAAAACTGCCACCCAGGGGCGTCGGGGGGGAACCCGAGGAAGACGCAGGGAGAAGCACGAGGGGACAGCTTGTCCGCAGACAGGTCGCGAACAAACGCCCGAGATCCCCAGACCCGGAACGCCGACGCATCGCCAACCTTCCCCGTCCACAACAGAGCTGGGGAGGTCTCCGGTCGAGAGACCCTGGGGTGGAGGTTGATCTGGTGCGCAGCGTACCTGACCGCAAACGGCCACAGAAAATGGGGAGCAGCCGCATGCATCATGGACGTACGAGCGACGTCCATGACCATGCCAATGCGGCGCTCAGCGATCCCATTCTGCTGTGGTGAGTCCGGAAGCGTGAAGGTCTGACGGATGCCTCGCACACGACAGTAGGTACTCAGGAGGGCCGAGGAGAACTCTCCGCCTCTGTCCGAGTGCAGACGCAAGACAGGGAAGTCAGAGCCAAAGCTTCTCCGAAGCTGAAGACGAGCTGCGCGGATCCAGTCGATCAACACCTGAGTGACCTCACCCTTGCTGCGCAAGGGGAAGACTGTGGTGTAACGCGAGTAGTCGTCAACCACTAGCAGGAAGTAGCGCTCCTGACCCTGTCCACGGACGCGGGCTGGGCCCCACACGTCCATGTGAAGCGTCTGCAACGGGGCCTCTGTCGGAGGAAACTGGGAGGAGTGAGGGGCAGCACGCTGGCGCCCCTCGACACAGGGGACACAGGCAGGGCCAGGGCCCGGAGGAAGGGGAGGGAGGGACCGGGGAAGACCAGACACAAGGACCCGCGAGGCCATGCCTCTGAGCCGAAGCAGAGAGGGGTGGCCAAGGCGGTGGTGCCAGAGGAGGGTCTCGTGAGACAGACGACGACACGAACAAGGGGCAGACTCAGGACCAGACCTGGACGCTGCAGCAAACACCTGACCAGACGAAGGGGCCCTACCAGACGCAGTACCTGGAGGAGAAGCAGTGGTCAGTGTGTACAGGCTCGATCCCGGCCGACGTGTAAACGTAGCCAGGTGGCGACCTGTATCCGCCTCCGTACAGTGGGTCACCCGCTGACGAGCAGGGGTGAACTGGTGGACACCTGCATCCTGGAGGTCAGCACCACTCACCAAGTTCGTCGAGAACGAGGGGAGGTAGAGACCAGTCAGGGTGCCAGAGGGGGCCGCCGGACACGGGAGGACAGTGGAGAAGCGAGACAGGACAGGCCCCCCAGAGGGGTCCGCCAGGGACACCGCAACCGGCCGACTCAGCGGCGTGAGAGTGGTGCGGTCCCTAAAGAAGGAGCGAGACGCTCCAGAGTCAAGGGTGAAGGTGTGAGAGGCCGAAGCCGACACAGTACCTGAGAGGGCGGACTCACCAGTACCTGAAAGCACAGACGCACTGGCACCTAGAGCAGCAGCTGCACTAGTACCTGACGCGGCAGTACCAATGCCCGGGTCGGGCGGGAAACACCGGTAACAGTCATCCTCATCACTACCAGTCACAGCATACATAGCAGAGAGAATAGCATCAAAATCAAGATCATAAATAGCTACACCAGCCCTAGACAGCTCTCCCCAGCGGGGGATCTCAGCGGCCTCCGGAAACTGCTGACGCCAGGCGTCGGTCAGGCGGCCAAAGCAGCGACGGGCTGTGTGGGCGCCTCCACACCTCTCCCCTGCACGGTCACCAGTGCGAAGAACGTAGGGGCAGGGACCAAGCGCACCACCGCGCTGACGCTGCAAGTACCACTCACGGAGCTGCTGAGGGCCGGGGACGGTGCGAGAGCGCTGCTGCTGCTGCGGCTGCTGCTGTGGCTGCTGCTGCTGCTGCTGCTGGCGCTGACCACCCCCAGAGCTGCTCCGCTGGGACGAGCCACTCCGACTCCCTCCTCCACCGCCACCCCCGCCTCCACCGCCACCCCCGTCGCCACCGCCACCTCCCCCACCAGGACCGTCGCTCCCACCGCTCCCACCGCCTCCTCCGCTACCACCTCCGCCGCCACCTCCGCCTCCACCGCCGCCACTACTACCTCCACTCCCGCCACCACCCCCCCCGCCACCCCCACTCCCCCCTCCACCCCCACCGCCTCCTCCACCGCCCCCTCTGGCTCCACCCGCTCCCTTGCCCCCCTTGCCCTTGCCAGTGCGGCGTCTGCCACTGGGGGCAGACGCCGCGCCGACCGACTCAAAACCAACGAGGTCGGCCGCAGCGGCAGAGGCGACAGAGGGCAGCAGGGGGGAGGGACCACACCCCTCAAAGATGGGGGTGCGAGGGTCACCCCGAGAGGCCCCTACAGCGACAATACTCTTCTCAGCCGCTAGCAGGGACTCCTCAAGGAGGTCGACAGTGAGAGTGGTGGGACAGACAGAGAGAAACTGGTCCCTAACGACACGAAGGGACTCAGGAAGACGGGTGACGAGAAAGTAGAGAGTGATGTACATGGGAGGAGGGTTCGCAGCGCGGAACTCAGCAGGAAGGGCAGCGCGGTAGCGGGTGTCACTAGCGCGGAGGTGGGTAACGAGGTCAGCGACAGTGGGAAAGGAAGCGAGGTCAGGGAAGAGAAACGGTAGCATGAGGCGGCTAAGGGTAGCGGAGGAAGGGGAGGAGTAGCGCGCAACTACAGCGTCGTACAAGGCCTGAGCGGTCTTGCACTGACTAAAGTGGGCACGCTCAGAGGAAGGGAGGTGGCGACGCACAGCAAGACGTGCAGCAGCATCGCGGGTCGCCCACTTGGAGCGAACGGCAGAGTCAGCATCAGCAGGCGGGGCAGGGACAGCGCCAGAGACAAAGTCAAAGAGAGAGACCTCATCTACCGCATCACACAGTAAGTACAGCTGCAGATCCTCGATCCAGACGGCAAAGTCAATGGCCCTCCCCTCAGCGTCAAAAGTGAGAACATTGGGGGTGGCCATAGCAGCAGCTGAAAGTCTCACCGGGATGGGAGAGTCGGGTAGGTCAGCAGCAGGCGGCTCGGGCTGCGCGTGCAGCTCAGGCGGCTCGGGCTGCTCAGGTACCGGGCGGCTCGGCTACTGCGGGGCGGCTCGGCTACTGCGGGGCGGCTCGACTGCTGCTGGGCGGCTCGGCTGCTGCTGGGCAGCTCGGCTGCTGCTGGGCGGCTCGGCTGCTGCTGGGCGGCTCGGCTGCTGCTAGGCGGCTCGGCTGCTGCTGGGCGGCTCGGCTGCTGCTGGGCGGCTCGGCTGCTGCTGGGCGGCTCGGCTGCAGTGCAGTGGCGGGGCCGGGACAAGGCCGGCGGTAGGGCCGGCGGTAGGGCCAAGTAGGAGCCGGCGGCGGGCCGAGTAGGAGGCCGGCGACGGGCCGAGTAGGAGGCCGGCGGCAGGGCCGTGTAGGAGGCCGGCGGCGGGCCGAGTAGGAGGCCGGCGGCGGGCCGAGTAGGAGGCCGGCGACGGGCCGAGTAGGAGGCCGGCGGCAGGGCCGTGTAGGAGGCCGGCGGCGGGCCGAGTAGGAGGCCGGCGGCGGGCCGAGTAGGAGCCGGGGCCGGGCCGTGTAGGAGGCCGGCGGCGGGCCGTGTAGGAGGCCGGCGGCGGAGCCGAGTAGGAGCCGGCGGCGGGGCCGTGTAGGAGGCCGGCGGCGGGCCGAGTAGGAGGCCGGCGGCGGGCCGTGTAGGAGGCCGGTGGCGGGCCGAGTAGGAGGCCGGCGGCGGGCCGTGTAGGAGGCCGGCGGCGGGGCCGAGAAGGAGGCCGGCGCGGGGCCGCGTAAGGGGCCGAGTAGGAGCCGGCGGCCCAGGGCCGCGTAAGGGGCCGGCTCGGAGCCGCGTAAGAGGCCGGCGCGGGGCCGCGTAGGAGCCGGCGGCGCAGGGCCGCGTAAGGGGCCAGCGCGGGGCCGCGTAAGGGGCAGGCGGCGGGGCCGCAGGGGAGAGGGCGACCCGAAGGGTCGCTAAAACAAAAAAGGGCGCGCCTCGGGGGCGCGCTTCGGTGGGCCCAAAAAAAAATTCGGTCCTGGAGGGACCTAGCTCTATACCATGTGAAACTATGAGCAGAGGAATGAATTGACTAAGTCAGAGTTGGGTACAAATACAACCCTAGCAGACAGTGCTCACCAGACAGGACGGGCAGCTCAGCAGAACAGGAAGACGGCAACACAGCAGCTCTGCCGGCCCAGCAGCAACAGCAGCCCCACAGGACCAGCAGCTCGGCTCCCCAGGCGGCTCGGGCGGGTCGGGCGGCTCGGGTGGCTCGGGCGGCTCGGGCATGCAGCGGCACGGGCGACTCGGGCGGCTCCGCTGCTCGGGTGGCTCGCGCGGCTCGGGTGACGCGGGGGCTCACGGGCGGCGCGGGCGTCGTGGCGGGCGGCTCACGGGCGGCTCGCGGGCGGCTCACGGGCGGCTGCACGGGCGGCTGGGGCGGCTCACGGGCGGCACGTTGGGCGGCTGCACGGGCGGCTGCACGGGCGGCTGCACGGGCGGCTGCACGGGCGGCTCACTGGCGGCTGCACGGGTGGCACGTCGGGCGGCAGCACGGGCGGCTGCACGAGCGGCTCACGGGCGGCTGCACGGGCGGTACGTCGGGTGGCGCACAGGCAGCTCACGGGCGGCTGCACGGTCGGCTGCACGGGCGGCGCGTCGGGCTGCTGAGGGCGACGCACGGGCGGCCGACGGGCGGCTAGCGGGCGTCGGGCGGCGCGCGGGCGTCGGGCGGCTAGCGGGCGCCGGGCGGCTAGCGGGCGTCCGGCGGCTAGCGGGCGTCGGGCGGCTAGCGGGCGTCGGGCGGCTGGCGTGTCGGGCGGCTAGCGCACGAGCAGGGGCCGCAGCTGACGGGCGGCTCTGGGCGGCGCACGGGCGGCTCACGCGAGCCGCTCACGCGCTGCGTAGGGCAGCGCGCGGGCGCTAGGGCGCTAGGGCGCTAGGGCGGGCAGCGGGGCGCTAGGGCGGGCAGCGCGCGGGCGCTAGGGCGCTAGGGCGGGCAGCGGGGCGCGGTCGCTAAGGCGGCGCTCGGGCTGCTAGGGCGGGCGGCGCGCTAGCTGCTAGGGCAGAAAAAAATTTTAAGGTAGTGGTGGTGGGCCCTAAGCACAGTTCCCACAGGGGAACCTGCTCGATACCATGAGAAGAAGTGAACGAGAATGAAATGACTATGAACGAAGTGAGTACAAATAGGAAACCCTAATTGGGTTGTACCCCCTATGGGATACCCCACTATAGCCTACACAAAATGAGTAAGCTACAATGTTCTGACAGGTCGGGTCGGCGGGAATTTTTGCCCTAGCGGCATCCATGTCGGCGGGAATATTTGCCCTAGCGGTGTGTACATCTTCCTCTATGAAAGGCTCGTTCAGGTCGGGAATCGCGCTGCTCCCCGCCGGCGGCGCGACGCCAGCCATCTCGGCGGGTAGAGTTGTTCCCGTCGGCCTCTAGTTGTCGCCGCGATCTCGCGGCGGTACGTGCTCAGCCCACCAAAGTCGATACTGCACAATCGCTGCTGTGTATTGCCTTCGCACCGTGGCCCTAAAGGCTGCCCGTCTTTCGGCCCTCTCAACGTTCTCGGCGATCGTCAACTCCGCGGCAATGTCGGTCAGTTCAGGAATTTCGGGAAGTAAGGGCAGCGGATTGGTGTTCTGCTGGGTGATGTTCGGAGTGGCCGTGGTCGGCGGCACAATGGTCGGCGGGGTGTGAAGTGGCAATGTATCGTTCGGCGGGGTGTTGTCCGGCGGGATGTTGTTAGATTGGTCCCTGACCATTCGAGGCCGCACGGGGGATCACCGGCGATGACAATACTGGTTGTGGGTTTGAAGAAAGAGGTCGGCGACTTTCGGTTGTTGTCGACCTAGTTAGTCGTCCTAGTCGGAATGATCCTAAGTCGGAAGCCCGTAAAGTTTGTCGACCTAAACGCACTCTACACCGGCGTGGCTCGTCGTCGACCCTGCACCACGCGTGGTCGGTCGGTCTCCGAGAAGCATGAAAATGAGTAAGGGAAATGTGGCTCACCAGAATGGAAATGAATGCAACGCAACAAACAAGTGTCGAAATGCCATGGACACTTGGCCGTCAGGGGGTCATAGCATAGAGAGGCACAGTCGCGGTTCGGGCGGACAGGTGTTGGCGGGCGATCCGTGGGCAGGTCTCCAACTCTGCTTGCAAGGCAGAACGGCACGGCGGCGCAATGGTCGACGTGGCACGGGGCACTCATGTCTTTTTCGCAGCCGACTGTCCGGTGTTCCCGTCACGGTGAACCGTGCTTACACGTCGGCGTGACGCAGCAGTGCTCATCGCGTCGCCCGACGATGGTATCCCACGGGGACGTTCCCGCCAGCAGGCCGGCGAAGGCTTGATCGCCGCGTGGACAGACGTTTGCCGATCGATGTTCGCCGCGTGGAATGTTGTGTTTCGGATGGGCGACGTGTGGCTCTGCGCGCCAGCACAGTGGTCGGCCAGAAATCCCGGTGGGCCTCACGTCGCAGTCCGCGCCGATGGCTAGGTGGACGTCGTGGCACGCTGGCCGCGACCGGCGTCGTCGACGTGTCGACCTCATACGGAGGGTCCGTTGAGAGGTGCTATCGGGGTATTTTTCATCGGGATTGCCGGGTGACGCAGGGTGACGCTCCTCGCCCAGGACGTGCACTCAGTTAGCCGGACAGGATGACGCAGGGTGGCGGATCCCTTTCCCGAGCCGCGTCGTTTTTGCACCCGGATGTAGTCGGGGCGTTGAGATATACCATGCTGTGTCGTCGAGGGGGGTCGTCGGAGCCCAGAATGACGAGGCGGGCAACTGACGCGCGTGCGGGCCTGCCAGCCTGGCCCAGGGCTGGGCCGAGCGCACGACCGCCGCCCCGCAGCCCCGCTCCGAGAGTGAACAGCGGCCCACGTTACCGGGTGGGGTCGGCGAACTGGCGACCCCTCGCGCGAGGGAAAGTAACCCTCGCGCGGAGGCAGCCCAACCGTGCCACCTGCCCGCGACGTCCTAGTAACCCATCGCGGCCTGCCCGGACGGGCAGGCGAGGGCCTGGCGAAAATTCGGGCCCCCCCTCGGGACACTCGACAACTTCGCGACCCGGTGCGGTGACGACACGTGTTCGCCCGCCGTTTCGCAAACGGCGCATGTGGTATTTCGGGCGTAGCGAAATCGATTCCAGTCGCTTCGCGGCGCATGCGAAATTGCGTCCCATGGCCGACTGAGGCCAGGGGACGTGACATCGACTTGCTGGCTCGGCGGCGAACGAGAAATTATGCCTCTTGTGCACGAGCCCGCCAAACCCTGCCGAGCCAGGCACCACGAGCCCTAGGCGATGCCTCAACCTCCCTGTGGGGCACCACCGACTCCCTTTTCTCTGTGGAAGGAGGCATTGCTCCTCATTTTCGTCTTTTCGTTTCTCGTTTTACAATATTGCCCATCTCTGCACCTTACTCCCACAGTCTCCTCCCTTAGCCTCTAGTCACCTCCCCACCTCGCCATGGCGGCCGAAGCGGCGCCGACTTCGCAGGACTTTCCGCTGTGTCTCGACCTGGGTAGTGGGCTCACTTCCAAACCTTTTGAACACGACTTCGCCGTCCTCGCAGACCATAGGCTAGAATTCACCGCACGTTGCTTGGGATTCGGCCTAAAGTGAGTCTCCGTATATGGTGGATGTCGGTGTCGACCTATCCGTGTTTGGTCGCCCTTGCTTGTAATACCTAGATGGTCGACGCAGCGTAGAAGCCGACTTAAGGTGCCAATGATATCTCGATCTTGATCCTCGATTACACCGACACGTCGGTGTCGGCACCTGGGTGTGCCCGCATCGCTAGTCTAGATTGACAACCACGGCGTTAGGGGGGTTCACCGTCATTTTATCGCCGCTGGCTTGTTCCTTTTACCGCCCAACTCACCCCTAATACCCATCTGTGCGTGCAGGCGATCATGGAATATCGCGACGTTGGGCAAGATGCGATTGTGGTCGATAGGAATCGGTTGGCTTCGGGCGGCGATGGGTCGGGACGGCCACACATGCTTCGCGGTGGTTTTCGACGCTGACGTAGCGGTTATCCCACTGCACTCCGGGTGAGCTTTTTTAACGAGTCGTAATGCGGTGCGTAGCATGTAGGTTAGTTGTTCTGATTGACGTCGTCGTGCCTTGCCCTTGCAGCATCGCGCCGCTGCCAGGATCTCATTGCAGCGTCGTTGTCATCATATAACCCGGCGATTTGTTGAGGGCCGGGGGGGAGAAGATCCGGACCTCGATCCGACACGTCGAACCGCATACAGCGAAGATGTGGCACCGCGACGAGGCGATCCGCGTGATGAAGTAAGCTCGATAGAGTAGTCGACGACGCCGACCATTTCGTTTTCGTCATGCATTGCTTACCGACTATCTGTGCCATGATTCTGCAGGTTTTTTCGAGCGGCGGTCCTGGCAGAGATGGGCCGCGATGGTAGGAAGTGGGAGTGGCCGAAGCCTGCCGACAAAGAGGTCATCGACAGGCTCGCCGACTGCGATTCACCCCTTCGAGATGTGAGTTATGATCGACATGGTGTCCTTCAGTTTAACCCTAAACCCTGGCACACGGAATTGCCTAACGCGGAGCTCACACATTCTCTCTGCTTTGTTGTATGCAGAAAGTGCCCGACGTCGTCCGGGACGAGCACGCGGGCTCCGGCCTGCTAGCAATGAGCAGATTGTAATGGGTGGTGCGGAGGCTGGAACGTCTGACCGGCGACCTCCGTCGCCGTGAGACCAGCATGGACAAGGTCAACGTTACGGGGTTGAAGGCGTTGCGGAATGAGATGATAACGTTCGTCAAGGGGGAAGTCAACAGGAAACGGGCGGGCCATGTCGGTATTGCGGCCGACGACTATGACGACGACGGCGACGATCCCCTTTCGGCATCCCAAGCTGTAGGTGTCGCCCACACCGACGACGATGCGCGGGGGACTCCACAAGGAGAGCCAGGAGCCGACGTCGACATGATGGATGAGGGGGCAGGAAGGGCGGTGACTGGGACTGCAGAGGAGCACCAGGACGACAACGGGGATCGGGAAGAGGAGGCGGATGACGAGGGTCAGGAATATGAGGAAGAGGAAGAGGAGGAGGAGGAGGAAAAGGAGGAAGAGGAAGAGGAGGACGACGACGATGACGACGACGACAAGGAGGAAGATGAGGAGGAGGCGGCGGTTGTCGTGGAGGCGGAGAAGCAGCAAGAGGGGGAGGAAGAGGAAGTGGTCGAGCTAGAGATAATGGAAGAGGTGGTGGAGTGCGACGACGGAGCGGAGAAAACGGGTGGGAGGACGGCGGATGAGGATGCGGCCGACGACGCCTGCGTGGGGGCGGCACCTGGGCGGAGCGAGAAGGTCGTGGTCGGCGATGTGGCTGGCGTCATGGCCGGTGTAGGCGGGGATACCGCGCCGGCAACAACGCGGACGGGAATGGATGGGCCTACCGAGGCCAAGGCGATGGGGGGGTGGTCAAGGAAGAAGAAGGCGGCGCGTGGTCACCCCGGTCCCGCGGCGTCCGGTCGGCAGGCACCGGTGGACGTAGTCGAGCTGTTGCGAGCGGAGAACACGAGGTTGCGGGCCGACAACGCACGCCTGCAGGAGTCGCTCAATGACCAGACGGGACGGGTCGACATCTTGGCGAAGGCGGTAGCTGGACTCCTCGACAAGCTCACGGCGTTGACCGCACAGGTCGCCACCACCGACCAGAAAGCGGCAAAACGTATCGAAGACGCCACTTTGGCCATGTCGACCACTATCGCCGACGAGATCACCGACAACATCGCGGACGCCATCGACGCTACGAAGTCGGTGTCGCGATTTGTGGTGGACTGGCTGAATGAAATCAGTGGTCCCCAAGGAACCATGGCAGTCGAACGCGCAGCAGCGGTAAATTGTGTTGTCGACCACCAGACTGCAGTGTGGAAAGGCCTGGAGGAGACCATCATCAGCTACATCGGCGCCGCACAAACCAACATTGCTGCCGCGGTTTCTCGCCCCATCGTCCTGCCAACGCCGCCACCTCCTCCTCCCACCCCAACTCAAGCCATACCGGAAGAGTTCCTTTTGTCGTTCAAGGCCGACGTGCTGAAAGCGGTGACGGAGGTGACACAGCAGTCGTTTGTTGCGTCCGGGATGAAGGCATTGACCGAGATGATCGGAAATGCGGCGCCTGGTCGACGCGAGTCGTCGCCGTCGGCCAACGATGCTGGCCAGGCGCAACGTCAGGATGCTTAGAAACATGGTCGGAAGAGGGGTGCTGGAGGCGGAGGGGGAGACGGGGGCGATTCAGGAAGTACTAAGCGGAGCAAGGGGGGAGATGGGAGCCGCGGCGTCGGCGCGGTGGGTCCTGGCGGCTCGCGGACTCAAGGTCAGAGCGTGGTCGACCAGCTCAAGAAAAAAGGGGCAGAGGTGATAAGGTTGCACCGCAAGGGCGATGGGATCTGCAGTGCAGATGGGGGCCCTGCCGACGGGGTCGCCGCTCCAAACGCTGTACCAACAGCCCCGCCCTTGGTCCCCGACCAGGAGACCCCCACATCTCACGCGGCGGGAGATGGCGGCGCCGGAGCCGTCAAGGGTCCGTCAGTTGGGGTGGCGGGGACGACGTCGACTCCCATTGACCCCCCTGGGGCCAGCAGGGCGCCGGTCGGCCAGTCGGCCGACAACAAAGTTGGGCCGGAGATTGCGCCGACTCCTGCTCCAGCAGACCGGACTGCCGCCACGGGCGACGCGAAGGGCGCTGCGGCTAACCGCGATGCTTCGGCCGCCAGAAAGTCGGATGCGCTCAGGGAGCTGCTCCACCGCATGGAGACCCATCGCAAGGACGTGCAGCAGCCTCCATCGGTCGATGCCGCCCCTCTCGAAACAGCGCGTCCCTCGGTTGCTCCGCAAGTCGCCGCCGCTGCGTCCAACGCCCCACCTACCGCGCCTCAGGTCGCCGCCCGTCCTCCCGCGGACCCAAAGTCCGCATTGCTTCGCGCCCGGTTAGGCGCACGTAGTGCGGCTGCACCAACACGTACTCGGCCGGCAGCCGGCTCAGGCGCGAAGCAGACTTCGGCAGGCGTGGCTGATCCCACTCCCGGCGGAGCTATTGTCGATGCGGCGGCGGAGAAGGGCGTGAGTGCAGCGCTAGCCACCGGTGGCAGAGGCGGTGACCCTGCACAGGCGGCGAAAGGCCACAACGACGCCGACATCGCCGCCATCCATAGCCTGCTGGAAGCGCTACATTGCCCCCCCCCCCCCCCCCCCCCGGCGCTGGCCATCGCAGACACGGCGCATGTGGGGACTGCGGCGTGTCCCCCTGGTGGTTCAGCGGTGCCAAAGACGTCCAGTGGGACTGTCGGCGTTGGAAAGGCAAAGCGGAATGGGAAGGCCGACACAAGGACAGGGAGGGCGATCTCGCAGAGGATCACACGGGCGAACTCAGCTGCGGAGCAGAATCAGGAAGAGAAGTCGGTTGGCGAGGGCACGTCGGCGAAGCAAGGGAAGGAGAAGGCCGCGGTCGGCGACGGTAGGCCGGTGAAAAAGGGGAAGGAGAAGGAGAAGAAGAAGGAGCAGGCGGAGAAGGAGGCGGAGGAGAAGGAGAAGGGTCGGAAGGGTCATGGCATCCGCCAGGACAGCACGGGCGACGGGTTAGGGTGGGTGGGCGAGATTAAAGTGCTCAATCACAATCGGTACATCGGCAAGTCACGCGTCAAGATGGAGCTGGCGTACCTGCACTCGATCGCGTTTATGGTCTACGACGGTTACGTCAGCAAGGTTCTCATGGACGAACTCACCGGCTTGAAGGACGCCGAGATGGAGGAGTGGAGGAGGGTGTGGGAGGAGGTCAGGATCCTGCCGACAGGGATGTGGACGGTGATATGGGCACGGGGCGCGTACCTTCCACGAACACGGTAAGTCGGCGTCCCTTAGGTCGAGTGCTGTTGACGATGTCGTAGTCCCTAACGGTAGAACCGTTTCATGTGTTTGCGTGATAGGTTCGACGGCATCCTCGACAAGTATCGAGCGTACAAGAGCTCAGGCGATGCGCACCACAACGCGCTCTTGCCGGCGATCTGGTTCCCCGTCGATGCCGACACGAAGGAAGGCCAAGAGAAGGCGGATGCTGCGATGTCGGCCCTGATTAGTCGTGTGTCCATGTGCGCGGCGTATGGGAAGGTCGCTGCGAGCGTCGTGGAGAAGACGGAGCTGGTGGCACAGGCATGGGCAGCATCGGCTTCCGCCTTGTGGTGCTTAGTCGAGAACGATGACGCCTCCGTGGACGATGCTGTGAGAGAGGGGATGGCGGCGGCGATGGTGGTCGGTGCGAGCGAGACGACCGAAGACGTCTTCAAAAAAGTCATGAAGGCGGTGATTCAGGCCGAGATCGAGAGGGAGCAACCCCTCGGGGAGGTCGCGCACAACGTCGCGCCGGCGCTGCAGAGTGCCGCTCTGCAAAAGCTCTATCCGGGGAGGGATGCAGAACATGAAGCCGTCGTGGTCGCTAGAGCGATGGTGGAGACCATGGCTTTTTGGGGAATGTGCCCCGTCGCCGGGCCGAAACTCGAGGAGATCGGCATCGCTGTGCCTTGTGACGCGCAGATGGAGCACGATTTTAAAGAGAGGGGAAAGAAGGGGCAGAGGGGCAAGCAGGGCAAGGACAGCACGGAGAAGACGAAGGGGAAGAAGGGCAGGAAGGTAAAGGACAACACGGATGCGTAGTCGGCGCGCAGAGGGAGCACATTTGATTGCTAGGCTGTATTCTGGTTTAGGCTTTGTAGCTACGGGAGTGCATGTAACTTTTTGGTATGCATGTGACATTGTGGGAGTGCTTGTGACTCTCTGGTAGTGTAAGTGAATTTTTGGTTGTGCAGTCGGCGTTGTCGACCTTGGCGATGAACCATGTCGACCACAATGTGTAGTCGGCGCACGTAGTCGACCACAATCGTAGGGCACGAATCTTCTTCGTTTATGGTTGCTTCACTTTGTGATGACCCTAAACCCTACTGTTCACATTGAAACTTGCTAGCCGTCTTTGAACGATGAGCCATGTCGGCGCATCTGTCGACATCAAGAAGAACATGCTACTTGGCGACGAGCTATGACTAGGTACATGTCGACAGCCTAGCAACATGCAAACCTGCGAGACGACGTCATGTATCTGTGTTTTGATTAGTAATGAGCGACCGACTACATTTAACACGGCGGGATCAAGTAGGTTCGCAAAGGCCTTGCTGTGGGTTATTACAAACTACCAGAACAGCATTTGAAAAAAGAGAGAGGGGGGGGGGGGGGGGGGGTGGGGGAGGGGGGTTTAAAGTCTGCCACAGTTAACAGCATCGAACTACGCACACGCATATCCTACAAGCGCGCTCATGCCGACTTCATCCTCTTGGTCGGAGGATGGTGCACCGGAGCGGTCGATTTGGCCGGTGCTATCGACTTGGCCGGTGCCGTCGGCTTCGCCAGGTCGGCCTTGGTCTTCGGCATCTGCTCCTCCCACGTGTCTGGAAACAGGGTTTCGACCCAATCACTCTGCTTCAGGTTGAGCGCCACAAGCGCACAGGCGAGGCGCAGCTTCGAGACCACCTTGGGACCCAGCCCCTTGACTCCCATGCCAGCCTCTTTGGACAACATCGATGCCGTTCCTGGTTTGAGCACCGTGAGGGCATCGGCGAAGGTCCCGATGCCCAATGCCGCGATCCTGTGCAGTGTGTCGACCAAGGCCTCGGTGCCGGCTTCGCCGTCGCTCGCGCGTAGCTGGCGCACCGCATCCATGACCTTCAGCATGCGGCGCACCCTCTTGTTGAGTGCACCATGCGTCGCGCCGGCGAGGAGGGTGTGGCGGTCGATGAACCCCGGCTCGGCGATCCTGTCGCAAAGCCGACGGGTGTCATTAGCGGTGGCGGAGTTCCAGAGGCGCCAGGCGTCCCTCACGGTCTTGGCCTCCCGCCACGGTTGTACCACGTTGAGCTCGTAACTAGCCTCCTCGTCCGTCTGTGGGGGTGGCGGGGGTTTGTCGTCCCCTCCGTCGGCGCCGGCTCCCATGTTGGCCGAATCCGCCGAGCCACCCTTGCTGGGAGATTGCGCGGTAGCGCACGGCGGGGCCTCCGGCACTCTCTGTGCTTTTGACACACGGAGTGCCTCGGTGAGACGGGTTATCTCGGCGGTGAGAGACTCGATGGTGTCGTCGCACTTCTCGAGCTCCTCCAGGAAGTCAATCCTCTCGTTCGCGGCACGCTCCATCTCCTTCGTCAGCGTCGCCTTGAGGGATATGTTGTAGTACTCGGTGTCCATGCGGACAGAGATTTCCTGCAGCGGTAGGACAAAGACGTTAGCCGCGAGGTGGTTTGGAATGCCCTACATCCAGCTCGTCGTCGACTTACCTCTGCCTGAATTTGGGTCGGGTCCCGACGCTTGTTGATCGTCTCGGTGTCGACCCTCTCGACCCGTTTCGCCCAGTGCTGGAAGAGGGGGATCCGGCAGAGCAGGGAGCCTTGGACGTACGGGTGCCATGGTGTGCGGACCAGCTTCACCACTAGGTCCTCGGCGACGATGCGGCGCAGCATCGCGAGTGTGCGCCAGAAGTGCACCGCGGCTTTGTCGGCGTCGGACCCCTCGGCAGCCTTCCCTTCCGCCTGCAATTCGTCACGTGTATTAGGAGTTCAGACGCTGTCAGCAACACGACTCGGAAACAAGGATACGAGGGCGTCGACTAACATACCGTCTTCAGCATGTCGTCGACGCCGGGGAAGATGTACTCGGCGAGGAGCTTCAAGAGCTTATCGGAGGGCTCCACCCTGCTCCGGCCCAAGAAGTAGTCCTGCTTGTAACCAGAGTAACCGGCCTTCTTCATCACCACCCCCACCGGAATGGCGGTGATGTACGCTCGCATCATCTTGTCGAGCGCCCAGTGTCCTAGCTCCGCGATCTCGGCGCGCGGCGTGCCGTTGATGGCCAGCTCCTGGGCCCCTCCGGCTCGAGCGGCGTGCACGTTCCTCTTCCAGAAGACCCCGTTTTTGTTCCACAACTGCCTCGTCCAGCGTTGGTGGCTTGCCGCAGAGAGCTCCCCTTGGTCGGTGTCGTTTCTGGCGAAGAAAAGGTGCGTCTTGTACCAGCTCGCGCGTGTGCTGGTGTCCACCGGCGGAATGAGGCGGACGCCGTGAAACTGGCTGATCTGGTCGAGGATGAAGTGCAACCACAGGCCCGTCTCGCCGACGGCGCACAACTCCGCTTCGAGGTGCCGCGCAGCGTAGCTCTGCTGCAAACGCGCATCCTTGGACGTCTTCGAGTTCCGCACAGCGATGACCATGACGACCGGCTGGTTCTCCGGTTTCACCGACGAGGTGCTCGCCAGTCGGTACAAGAATAGGTCGGGGAGCATGATCTCGCGGATGCTTGCGCCGCGCAGGAGAGAATGGTGGGAGAGTAGCGTGAGCACCTTCAACAGCAGAAACCGCCACAGCGTCTGCGACGGGCCCGTAGCCCGCGGGTTCCAAGCCTTGGCCGCCCACGTCGGCAGCACCCTGAACATGATCTGGCGGAACTGTTCTGCGGTGTAGGTATCGCCAATGGTTCCGCGACGCCGATCGGTGCAGTTCCTGCCGACAATGCCGAGGGTAAGGGGCATTTAGGGAGACGTTGACACAGTACATGACAACAAGAGAGTGGTCGACAGAGGTTAAACAAAAACTCACTTGAGGTCCCGCTCGTTCTTGGTGCGGAACATGAACCGCACCTCCGACCTGACCACCGATATCTCATGCATGATGCTCAGCTCCTTCTCCCGGTATATCGTCGCCTCCACTCTCGCCGCCATTTGGCATGCCTTTATGCGCCCGAGGAGCGTGTGCACCGTTGTAGATTGCACAGGCTGTGTTCCTGTGGCGTTGTCGCCCTCCTTGCTGGACTCGGCATCGAGCTTCATCTCCCGAACCATGTACTTCACGTATGCGCGAAGCCGGGACGGGGTGACCCTAGGGCCGTGCAGCCACACGTGCGACCGGGGGACATCGGCCTCTTGGTCCCAGTTCTTCTTCTTGTTGTCCCGGATGTAGTGCCCTATCTCGTCGACGCGCTTAAGCCTGTACTCCTGCGGAAGCTTGTTGCGAATTTGCATCAACATCTTCGCCGCCCACCTCTTGTAGTGGTAGATCCACGAGGTGTACTGCCTCAGCGTGCTGTTCCTCTCCACGGTCTGCAGGTGGCGTAGGGCGTCCAAGACGAGCACGTCGATGGTCGCGTACACCATGTCTTCCTCGACGAAGTCTGCCGCCCTCCACTGTTCGCGCGGCACCGACAAGTTCTCCTGGTCGGCATCCTCGTCCTGTTCGAGCAGATCATCTATGTATTCAAGTTCCCGCCTGAGCCGTTCTTCCAAGGTGCGCTGACTAGTGCTACGCGGCGGACGCTCGTCGTATTCGTCATCGCTTTCCTCTTCCTCCTCCTCCCCCCCATCCTCCTCCTCCTTGACCTCAACCTGGTTTCCAGAGCCGGCCGGTGCCGACGAAGTTCCTGGCCGTCCATTTCGCTTCGGATTCTGTTTCTTTTTCTTGTTGAACTCCCCGACCGGCGGTGGGGGAATGTCCTTGGTGAACTCCCCTTCCGGAATTTGCGTCAGATTGTCAAGATCGTAGAGTAAGGGGAGCATCTCTTCCTCGGTAGATGTCGGACTGTGGTCGGTGGATGGTATAGCGTCAGCCATGTCGACGTCGGCCATGTTGCAGCACGTATGTTGCTCTACCATCGACGGTTTGCGATGCGGAGGTCAGTAAACCAGAGACGGTACTGATTCACGGGTGTGGTGTACGACCAAAGAGTAGCGCGGCGGTCTTCCTCTAGATAACGTTCGAATTCTCGCTCAAGTGCGTCTAACTCGGCTTCGACCTCGAGCCGTTCCAACTGCGCTTTGATGTCGTCGTCTACAGGGAGTCGGCAGGGGGTGGAATGGGTTGCGGCAGTTGTGCTCTAGGGCGACCTCTGGCCATGCGTCGCCGACTGACGTCGACGTCGACGACTACTGAACAAGTCGGCAACCGAGTAACCTACTGGCAGCTGAAAATTCTAAGTGCACGAGAGAGCAGGAAGAAACGCAGGAACGGACATGGGAATGAGCAGGCCCGCACGGTCACGGACGGGTATGGTCCTGAGCGACTCCGACGCTGCCGCGATTCAGGCACACCCCTATGCTCCTGCCGCCGTGCATGTGTTCTCGCATAGGCGGCGCACTGCCCGAAGTGCCACGCGCCAAGCATGGCTATTGTGACTTCGCGCTGCACCGAAGGGCCGTAAGCCAGGCCCTTTCCACGGTGGAATGGGCGTGTGTTACGTGGCTTGGGGCCGACATTGGCCTCTCAGTAGAAATTAGTGCATGCAGGCTCGAATCTCCGAGGGTTCCGGAATTCTTGAATCCCACCGTGGCAGTCCTACCGTGGGTGCCCAAAGATCGGCGCCGACTTACATTCGGCGCGCTTGGTTGTTTCATTAGGTTCATTGAACATAGAAGCGTTGGGATTGTGCCGCGTGGCTTGGTTGTGGGCCTCTGGATGTACTGGTCGACACCAACATCGGATGCAACAGGCGATGCCACAGAACCTTTACATCCTGGACGGTCCGATTTTTGCTGCGTGGATCGGGCTGGCCCGTTTTCAAGGGTGTGAACGTTTTCCCGCTTTGGGAAAATCACCGCTGGGGTGACGCGTGGCCACGACGGCCACGTCGTGGCAGCCTAGTACACGGTGGGGACGGTCCGGCTCCCCCCTATTGGTCCGCGTGGCGGCAGTCACGGCTCGACGTGGCGAGCTCTCCTATTTTGTCCGCTGAGATTTACTTCTAAGGAATCTCTCAGCGCAAACCTATGTCGTCAGATTGTCGACATTCCCGAGGGCTCCCGAGGCCCCTGGGACGCCATTTGGGCCCGGGTTGGAGCTCGGAGGTCGTCGCGAGCTCGTCAATCCCGAGGGGGGCCGTTGTCCCTTCTGAACCGCGAAATCGGGCGGCGTCTTTCGTTGGCTGAGGTATATCATCCCCTAAGTGTCAACCACCGTATCTGCAGATCCACAACTGCGCTCCTTTCTTGGTTCTTGGTCTTCTTGGCGACGAGGTGGGGGTCATTCGTTCGACGCCTGTCTGGGAGGAAGGGGACTTATTTACAGGGCAGAAAGGAATGACGGTGACAAAGTTTGAAGAAAGAAAGAGGAATGAACTAGCAGAAATGGGGATACAAATAGCAAACCCTAGAAGGGTTGTACTCGCTATAGAGCACCCCACTACAGGCTAGAACATAAGAATAATATTCTGACACACCCCCATAGCCAAAGTGGGGTGTAATCAGCAGAGCAGGCAAAGTAGTACAAGCTCAGGGTGGATCACAATGTCACCACACATTCTGAGCACAAGTTCAAGAAGAGATAGTTTAGAGTTCACAATTATGAGCAGAGCTAGTGGTAGTCACAACGGGCAAGTGAGGAGGAGGAGAGAGAGTGAGGGGAGAGGAGATAGGAGGCGACGGCTGAAGCTGCAGGCACACGGGCAACAGGAGGCACACTGGCACAGCGGCTACCGGACAGCGCCCGGACTACAGGAGTAACAGGCCCCGCGGCTCAAATAGCGGCGGACGGGCAACGGACCCACGGGCGGCTGGCACAGCTGGCTACGACTGGGCTACCGGGACAGCGCCCCGGACTACAGGTGCTGCGAACGACAAACTGACAACCTCCACTCAACCTCCCGCACACAGTCCCACCCCCCTGATGCACACCCACTGCTACACCGCTAGCTGCACTCCCACGCACCCCCCTTAAACCCTAAACCCGAGTCTCCCACACAACCACCCCCCTCAGCGACAGCTGCAGCAGTGGGAGACGAAGGAGGAGGAGGAGCAAAGGGAGGAAGGCACACCGAGCACCCCCATACCCGCCACCCCACAGCGGCCCCCGAAGGAGCCGCGACGGGCGACGGGAAATGGCAGGGGGAGGCGGGGGGGGGGGGGGGGGGGGGGAGGCGGTGTGGTGAAAGGGGCCCACCACGGGCCTGGTTGGAGGGCGGGGCCGCGACAAGGGGCGGGGCCGCGACGAGGGGCGGGGCCGCGACGAGGGGCGGGGCCGCGACGAGGGGCAGGGCCGCTTCGAGGGGCGGGGCCGCGACACAGGGCGGGGCCGCGACGTAGGGCGGGGCCGCGATGGTCGGGGCGGGGCCGCGACGTAGGGCAGGGCCGCTTCGAGGGGCGGGGCCGCGACGAGGGGCGGGGCCGCGACGTAGGGCGGGGCCGCGACGGTCGGGGCGGGGCCGCGACGTAGGGCAGGGCCGCTTCGAGGGGCGGGGCCGCGACGAGGGGCGGGGCCGCGACGTAGGGCGGGGCCGCGACGGTCGGGGCGGGGCCGCGACGTAGGGCAGGGCCGCTTCGAGGGGCGGGGCCGCGACGCAGGGCGGGGCCGCGACGTAGGGCGGGGCCGCGACGTAGGGCGGACGCCCGCGAAGGTAGGGCAGACGCCCGCCGCGCGCCTCGGGGCGTACAGCGGGCAAAGAACCGCCGCGCGCCCCGGGGCGCACGGCGGGCAGAAAACCGCCGCGCGCCTCGGGGCGCACGGCGAGAAGGAAAACCGCCGCGCGCCTCGGGGCGCACGGCGGGAAGGAAAGGTAGCAGCGGAAGCGAGGTGGAAACCCACCCACAGGATCGATCCAAGGGGATCGACCTGCTCTGATAGCATGACAAAGTTTGAAGAAAGAAAGAGGAATGAACTAGCAGAAATGGGGATACAAATAGCAAACCCTAGAAGGGTTGTACTCGCTATAGAGCACCCCACTACAGGCTAGAACATAAGAATAATATTCTGACAGACGGTTGTTCAAAATGATTCACACGGCGGACAAGATTCAACGTTAACATCGGATGGGTTGCGTAGTTGTCACATTCATATTTTACAAAACACAAGGACAAGCAATTTGATGTATTTATATAGCACCAAGTTTTAACTTTCATGCATTAATGAATATAGCAAGTTTAGTTACTTCTTGAGTATGAAATAATGTATTATTTTATGATTCCATTGCTAGACTATGGGTGAATATAGAACAATTGAGTGTCTTTTTTATAAGTAGTTTATAAGATTAAGTGAACAACTATGTTTTATATCTTCAATAGTATATTTTGTAACACTAAACTATCCGGTTCTTGCTCTAGCAAAAGTGTGGTTCAAATTGAGCTAAATCGCTCATCGGAATTCGGGGTGACGTACCCGTTATGCCTAGGACGACGCAGGGGGGTGACGGTCGACCGAGCGTCAGGGCGGCCAACTCCCTCGCGTGAGTCCCCCGCCAGGTTGGCGCGGGGCGGGGCTCTGCTCATGCCCCCCGCCCCAGCCCCCCACCCCGAATTCCTACAGAACCCCACGTTGCAGCCGAGGGGTGGCAAACTCGCGCGCGAGCAACGAGGGGCCTAGTAACCCCTTCACGGAGGCGGACATTCGCTTCGCATTACCCGCGAGGCCCTAGTAACCCTCTCGGGCTGCCCTCGCCGGGCAGGCGGGTTGGATGCGAAATTCAAAGGGCCCGACCCCACCCTCGTCAACATCGCTGGCCCCTCGGGAGGGGACACGTGGCTCGCCCTCGCCACCCCGACCACCCCCATGCACGGCCCAGACAAACCACCCACCTCCCCCCCTCCGAACCCCGCCCTCGAGGGCAGGCCCGGTTCGGGCCGACGCCGGAGGCTCGCCCCCGGCCACGACTTCCTCGTTCCCGAGCTGCAGGCTGAGCGACCGACGGCCCACGCCCATATGTTGATGGGGGGTCCGACTCCATCCATCATTTCTCCTTTCCAGCTTCCGCTTTCCGATTTCCTCTGCCTCCCTGTCAGCTCTCCACGCTCCTCCCCTTTCCTTTCAAGATACCGTGGTGTTAGTTAGCATGGCGACCAGTAGGATAGTACTGCCTGCGTCCGAATTCCCCCTCCAGGTGCCAGTGGGCATCGCTTGGTACATGGTGACGCTCGAGATGAAGGACTACGAAGTCCTTCGCGACGAGAAGGCCGAGTTCACAGAACCTTGCTTCGACCTCGGCCTCGCGTGAGCGCGCATCCTTAGGTCGCCTTGTTAGTTATTTAGGGTTCAGCGCGTTTTCGTCGGCGTCCTTTCTAGGTCGACGCTGGCCTTGTTGGCTTCCCGCGTGGTCGACGATGTCCGTCCGCGATGGACGTAGTGGCGCTACGTCGTCTTATTAACTAGTTTGCTTGTCCTCGACCATGGGCCCTACGTTGGTGACGTCTGTCCTGCTGCCGGCGACGTCGCCGTCGTGCAAAACCGTCGTCCGAGTCGGCTTGTATTGCTGTCGGCGCTTTACCTCGGCGCCCGGCATGGATTGTAGCTCACCGCGCAAGTGTTTCGCTCCCGCCTTTTCACCCCTGTTTGTCCCAGGGACGAGCTCGATCGCCTCGGAAAAGCCGACAGGATGGCCCTGATCCGCGGTGCGAGTCTTCGCGCCGCCAGGATGGCGTCGAAACCGGACTATCTGGTTTTCGGGTCGGCCTTCGGCTTCGAAGCCCTCGCCATCCCCCTGTGCACCGGGTGAGTGTTCCGCGCCCGTGAGGCTTGTTCCTCGCCGACCGCGTTGCTTGTTGTTCCCGGACAGAACCCTGAATGTCTCCGTCGTGCTTGTGTGGGCAGGGGCGGACCTCTTCCGAGCAGGCACTGCAGCGTCCTGCTTGTTGTGCGCCCTGGCGACCTGCTTTTTCCCGACGAGGAGGAGATCGGGACCTTCTACCGCCACCTCGACCCCAAGACCTCCTCCAAGCGACACGAGGAGGAGGCGGCCAACGTTTTGAGGTGGGACAACGTCGCCGGCTAGTCGCGCTGCTCCCTAACGGCATTCATGCCGCCTTATCTGATGGCTCTTTTCCGTCTCGTAGAGCAGGTTTTTCGGCGAATGTGTGAAGGCGGAGTTGAGCCGTGAGGGAAGGGGGTGGACGGCTAAGCCTCCTTTCGCCGAAGTCCTGGCCGAACGACTAGAGAGTCTTGCCGCCCCCGTCCGTGATGTGAGTTTCCTACGTCGATGTCGCATTGTCGCCTGGGCTATCGTCGTCGAGGCGTCGACTCACCCTTGTCGTGGTCGCCATGTGCTTGGGATGTTGATGCAGAAATCGCCCGACATCCTCAGGCAGGAGGTCGCCGGCACGGGGCTGCTGGCGGTCAACGTGTTAGCGTGGTCGTTGGAGCATCTGGAAGACGTGCATCGCAGCTACGATCCGCTCATCGTCGAGAACCCGAAGATGGTCGGCTTGAAGGCGCTTCGACTGGAGCTGGTGCACCACGTGGAGAAGGCCGCGTCGAACTCACGGGAGGCGGCGTCGACCGTGGGTTGTGGCGTCGGAGCCGGCATCGCTCTGGGTGGGGAGGCCGAGGAGGCTGCGGCGGGGTCGCACTCTGGCGGGCACGGACCCACAGATGGCGGCGAGGAGGAGCACGAGAGGGAGGACGGGGAGGGGGGCGGGGAGCAGGACGGTGGCTCGGACGAGGAGGAGGAGGACGAGAAGCGTGAGGAGGACGATGTGGTTGTCACCGGCGAAGTGGAGGCAGTACAGTTCGCCGGTGAGAAGGTTGCGGATAAGAGCGGCGGCAGCGGACCCAAGTCGGGCAAGAACGCGCGGGGCAGCGGTGGCTCGACCCCGACTAGGATTGCGTCAAAGGCGGCTGTTGATGGTATGAAGGTGGCGGAGAGGGAGAACAAGAAGCTGAGGGAGAAGTTGGTGGCGGAAAAGAGGCTGGAGCACCAGACGGCCCGGATTGACGCGCTTTACTCCATGGTCACCGCGACTGTGAACAAGCTCTTGACGGTCGCCGAGAGTGTGACCTCTCACGAGCAGACGTCGGGGAGGAGCCTCCAAACGGCGGTGGACACTATGAGGGCGGTCGTGCAGGAGGCGGTGAGCTATCGCGTCTCCACCCTAGAATTCATGAACGCGCAGTGGCTGCCCACCTTGCGGGCCCTGCACTTGACGGCTACTGCTGCACAGAGTAGGCGACATGAGGACGACGTCCTGCTATTGCGAGGCGTGGCAGATGCTCTTGGCGAGAAGATCAAAACCGTCATGTCGGCTGAGGTGAAGGCGGCCATGGAGAGCGAGGCGCAGGGGATCGCCGCTGCCGTGACTGCGCAAGTCGTCCAAGAGCTTAGGGACAACCTGGTGAAGGCGGTCACCTCCGCGACCCAACAGGGCCTTGGTACCGCCGGGTTTAGCCTCCTCCCAACTGCTCTCGCGTCGGTGATGCACGGCGGTCGCGCAACCGCCGAGGAGCATGGGCCGGCGCCAAGGCAGTCGGGGAAAAGGGTCGCCGACGAAAAATCCCTGACCGGCGACCAGACCAGCGGCAATAAGCGAAGCAGAGGACCCGCGGCGAAACGCGGTGTGGGCGTGGACCCTCCCGCCGCTCCGTATGTTCGTATCCCCGGCGTCCGAGACTTGCTGAAAGAAGAACTTGGCGTGCGACCGAGCGCCGATTTTTGACAGGGCGACGTCGCGCTCCAGGATCCAGCTTCGGTGGTCGGGAAGACCGGTGGACAGCCTGTGGGGGACAAGCAGCCACAAGCCCTGACCGATCCGCTGAGCTCACACGACGCGCCACCGAGCTGCGACCAGACGAATCTGGCCGACGAGCTCACGGGAGAGGCATCCGTGGTCGCCAAGCAGGGCTGGCAGCCATTGGCGGACCATCATTCACAGCCCGAGGCCAGTCCGGCGACAGCATAAGGCGCTCGACCGAGCGGCAGTACGGCCCAGATGGCCGACGACCTGCACTTCGCAGCGGTGGTCGGCCAGCCGCACGGGGAGCCCGTTGCGGGCCAGCATGTTCAACCCTCGACGAGTACGCCGGCTGCGCGACCGACCGGCGTCACAGCGCAGCTGACCGGCGACCTCTTGCGCCCCGCAGCAGTGGTCGGACAGCTGGTCGGGCATGCCGGGGCGGGCCAGCATCTCCCCACCGCGACGAGTCCGGCAACCGCACAAGACGCACGACCGGGTGGCATCACGGCGCTGGTCGACGAGCTCTTGCGCCCAGCAGCGGTGGTCGGACAGCATGACGGGCAGGCCGCGGCGGGCCAGCATCCCCACACCGCGGCGAGTCCTGCGACTGCACAAGACGCGCGACCGGGTGGCGAGTCGGCGCTGGTCAACGAGCTCTTACGCCCAGCAGCGGTGGTTGGACAGCATGTCGGGCAGGCCTTGGCGGGCCAGCATCCCCACACCGCGAGGAGTCCTGCGACTGCACAAGACGCGCGACCGGGTGGCGTGTCGGCGCTGGTCGACGAGCTCTTGCTCCCAGCAGCGGTGGTCGGACAGCATGTCAGGCATGCCGGGGCGGGCCAGCATCTCCCCACCGCGTCGAGTCCGGCGACTGCACAAGACGCGCGACCGGGTGGCGTCACGGTGCTGGTCGACGAGCTCTTGCGCCCAGCAGCGGTGGTCGGACAACATGTCCAGCAGGCCGGGGCGGGCCAGCACCCCCATAACGCGACGAGTCCGGCGAACCCGCCTCTGCCTACGACGGGCACTGCCGGTGCGGCCAGCTTACCCGTTCATGGGGCCATGGTCGCCGCGGATCCGATCCCGATCCCAAAGGCTGTTGAGTCTCGGGTGGTCGAGGCTCTAATCGCTCAAAAGCCATCGTTCGACGAGTATCTGAAATGGCTCGAGGATCAAGGTCAGAAAACCCCGGTAATTCCTCCGACTCACAGCAACCAGGCGGTTGACCAAGGAGTAGAGGCAGCGAACGTCACGGCGGCGACTGCAGGGCCGAGTGCCTCAGCGGTGGAGGCAGCTGTGTGGAGAGTGGTGGAAGAGGCCGGCGGGGTGGACGAAGAGATCCTCGCCAGCATCGTAATGCCGGACCGGGAAATCGAGGTCATGCGGGAAAAACTACAAGCAGCAGCTCCCACCTTGGGAGCGCAACAGGGTACACCCGCCGCCTCGACTGCTCCTGCGGAGGACCATAGCGCGGCTGGCGCCAAATCCCCCCCGGCCACGACCGGTGAGGTCGGCGACGGGAAGCACAAGCGCAAGGGCAAGGACAAGGCGAAGGGCGGCCCGGCGAAGGCCGGCTCTTCCAAGGGGACGTCCAAAGCGGTTGCGCAGGGTTGGAAGGGTTCAGGCGTCCGCGTTGACGCTTCAACGGGGCTGGCCACGTCGGAGATGAAGTTTGGGAAGAAGAGCCGTTACATCTGCCGGTCGATGGACAAGTCCGAGGCCGCCTACTGCATCGCTGTCGCCGTTTCGTCGTACGACGGCTTCGTCAGCGACGTGATTCTGGACGAGTTCGGTGGGGTCAAGGAGGATGTGATGGCGCAGTATAAGGCGGAATGGAATTTGGCGCGATTGATTCCGGGGGCCATGTGGACGGTCATGTGGACGGTCATGTGGCGCGAATGTCTTCCGCGACAGGTAAGCTTGGCGAATGATCAATTAGGTGCTCGTTTTGGTCGGTACGCGTGGGCCGGTCGGTGACGGTGGGTCTTCCTGCTGTGTTTCGCAGGTTCCAAGAGGTGGTCGCGGAATACAACAGGATAACCGACACCGACCGCGCAGCTCTCATGTTGGCTCTTCGCCCGGCGGTGTGGTTCGGCGACCTTCCGGAGTCGACCGAGCCCGAGAAGGCCGCGAAGAACAAGGTGGCGAGCGACATGATCGCACGCGTTTCGATGTGAGCCGCCTTCGCACCTGTGGCCGCGAAAGTGACGCCCATTCCGGGCGTCGGGTCGGAGCGGTTGTCCGATATCCTCGCCGGTACTGCGTGCGCATTGTGGTGTTTTTCGGAGACCAACGCCACCGCGGAAGTAGCGGCCGGCGAAAGGGGAGCGGCAGCGATCGTGCGCGGAGCGTCCAAAGAGTTCGCGAAGAGGTGTAAGAGCGTCATCGAGGTGGTGCTTCAACGGGCGTCGTCCCGGAAGGTCGGCGTAGAAGAGGTCGCCGACACGGTGACGAAGGACCTGCATGGCGTTGTGCTGAGGTTGCTGCCTGAGGACGGCGACGAGCGCGACCACGACGATCTGATCGCCCGTGTCATGATCGAGAACCTCGCCTTCTGGGGGGACTGCTGTGTCGGCGGACCCAAACTCAAAGCGCGCGGCGTCAATTTGCCTCTTGACGCCGGGATGAAGGTGATCGTTCGGAACAGGGGGGCAAGGGATCAGCACAAAGGGAAGCAGGCGGCCGACGCCTAGGTCGACAAACGCTGCCCCGACTGCTCGTGACATGGTCGACGTGTCCGTTTTTGGGTGTTGTTGTGTTGTTTTCTTTTGCCTCTCCGGCTTAGGGATGCTGAACTTGTTCGTCAATAGTTTTTCAGAAACCTTGTGAAGTAGGTTTTGTGGTGGGAACATAGTGGAGTCGGTTTGATGCATGAAAAACAGATAAACTTCTACTAATTACTAGTCGAAACAACGTTGGCAGTAAAAGAAAACCATATAGTATCACTAGAACAGGTCGGACACACTCAGCCCACCCCCAGCCCACCCTCAGCCCGCCCTAGGCCCGCCCTCAACCCACCCTCAGTCACACCACGCTCAGCCAGCATCACAAGTCGGACCCAGACGCACTACCCTCAGCCCGCCCTCTTGCGCTTCCCAGCGCCGGTGGCTCCCGCCGTCGCCTCGGCCTCGAAGCCGGCCTTCTTGGCCTGCTCCTCCCACAAGTCGCCGAAGAGCCTCTTTCCCCACTCAGCGTCCATGTAGCCCGCCGTGACCATGCCCCACGCAACGGCGAGCTTCCTCGCCAGCGGCTTGTCCAGACCCTTGATGGCGACCGACTTTCCGTCGGCCGTGGTGGGGGCCTTGATGGGCGGGGTTGCACGGAGGACCAAGAGAGCGTCGCTGAAAGTGGAAAGGCCTGCTCGCCCCAGGTGGTCGAGTAGCTTGATGACGGCGGCGGTGTCAGCGGCGTCGTCGCTCTGCCGCAAGTCGTGCACCGCTTCCATGATCCGCCTCATCCGGCGAGTGTAGTGCTGTAGCGCATCGTTTTGCCCGTCTCACCCACCTCGGTCGTGGGACATCCGTCGGTTGGCGGTTGTCGGCCACGAGAGCTCTTCGCCGACTTCGCCGACGCGGCGGGTTTGTCGCCCTTTTCGACCTTGCAGATCATGCGCGTGTGTCTGACGAGGAATCTGTGCTCCTCGTAACGTTCGCGCAAGGGACGCGAGTCGAAGTTGGACGGGTTGTTCCACCAGCGCCAGGCAGCCTTGACCGTCTTGGACGTGCGCCAGGGATGCACGACGTTCACCTCGTACGTCAGGTCGTTGTCCTGTTTGTTCTCGATCTTGACGGCCGCTGCCTTCTTGGCGGCGGTCATCGACCTTGTGGTCGGCGGTGCAGGCGCAGTCGGCCGTGCCTCGGCCAGCTTGAGAGCCTGCATCAACCTCGCGATCTCCGCGTCCTTCTCCTCCAGCTGCTTCTGCATCCCAAGCTTCTCGATCGCGGCATCCTCTCTCTGGTGGTGCAGCATCATGGTGAGCTGGTCGACCTGATGGAAGACGTCGACTCGTGCGCTAAATTCCTGCGATCCAAAGGGAATGGTCGGCAAGCCGTCAGCAAATGTAGCAGGACGACTGGTTTGACAGGTAACCGCAACGCGCTCGCCGTACCTCTTGGGGGTTCTCGGTCGGAGTACCGCGCGTGGCGATGGTCTCGAGGTCCACCCGGTTGACGTCCTTGGCCCATTTTTGGAAGTCGGGGTCACGGCAGAGTTTGGAACTGTGGACGTACGGGTGCCACGGTTCGCGCATCAGCATGCCCGCCAGATCCTCGGCGACGATTCGGCGGCCGAACTCGATGAGCGATTGCAGGAAGTGCACCCCGGCCGTGTTGGGCTCTCTCGCGGTGGTGCACCTTACCGCCTGCGTGTCGAACGCAAACACAAAAACAAGCAACCATCGGTGGAATGTTGGCGTGGAAATGGTCGGCGGGAAGTCGGCGTCTCAGCGTCTGAAATGCTCACCTTGTCCAGTTCCGCTTCAGCCCAGGGAAAGATATGCTGGGCGATGAGGGCCACCACCTTGGGGTCGGGCGTCACCAAGCTGCGGTCGAGGTGGTAGTCGCCGCACTTGCCCGTGTAGCCGGCCTTTCTTAACACCGCCGCCTTCGGGATGGTCGTGATGTAGCTCTTCGCAAGCTTCTCGAGCGCCCAGTGGCCCAAGTCGGCGATGTCAGATCGCGGGACTCCATCGTCGGCCAGCTCCTGTGCCCCACCTGCCCGGGCGGCGTGGGTGTTGCGCGTGATGAAGATCTTGTTCGTCCGCCACATCTCTTTTGTGATCCGAGAATGAGACGAAGCCAGCAGCTCTTTTTGTGCCTTGTCGTTTTGAACATGAAAGAGGTGCTTGTGATACCACATGTACGGAGTTGTGAAGTTGAGGGGCGGCACAGATCAAGAGGTGGGTGAGTGGCTCAGCTGGTCGTACACGAAGTGCAGCCACAACAGTGTGTGACCGACGGCGCACATCTCTTGCTCCAGGTGTCTCGCTGCGTAGCTGTGATGCAGACGAGCATCCTTGTTCGTCGTGGAGTTCCGTGACGCGACGACCATGACAACCGGCCGTTGCATTGAGTGCTCGGGCGACGCGCTCCCCATTCAATACAAGAACAAGTCGGGGAGCTCGATCGCTCGGAGACTGGCTCCGCGGAGAAGGGTGTGGTGATCCAAGAGGGTCATCGTCTTCATCAGCAGGAACTTCCACAGTGTCCGGGAGGGGGTGGCCGCCTTGGGTTCGTACGCCTGAGCCGCCCAGGTCGGCAAGACCTTGAACATGAGGTGGCGGATCTGGTCGGTGGTGTACGTGTCGCCGAGCGTTCTGCGGTGCCGGTCGACGCAATCCCTGCACATCAGTTTCCACAAGGACTGGGTTAGCTGGGCAAACCGGGAAACAGGCGTGAACCGCGAGGGACGACTTGCCGACTTACCTGTCGTCCCTGTGCCACTTCTCTCTGACCATCGCGCGCACCTCCGAGCGGACCTCGGAGATGTCGTACATGATGTGGAGCTCCTTCACCCCGAAGAGCGTCCCCTCGACCTTGCACGCTGTCTGGAGCGCTTTGATGCACATGAGCAGCATCGAAACGGTTGTCGCCCTTAGGGGCTGGACACGGACGTCGGGATTCAGCTCCTCGAGCTCCTCGGCCTTTGCAATACCTTCCTGCCTCGCGATTGACAGAATGTACGCCCTGATCCGCGTGGCGTTGACGCGGGGACCGTGCATCCATTGAAGGTCATCCTTGGCGGTGTGCCACTGATCACCCATGTCTGCGTCGATGTACCTCCCTATCTCGTCCTCGTGCTCCAGCACGCCGTCCCCCTTGACTCTGGCGGTTTGCTGTCTTGGAAGGTTCTTGCAGCACCATCTCCTGAAGTCGAGCAGTGCCCGCAGGTACTGAACCCGGGTCGTTCTTGTCAGAATCCCAACCACTAGACCATTGGGATAAAAGGGCTTGTTAAGTAGCGGGTCAGTGCGCCCATAACCCCCTAGGCCAACATGCCTGTAACCCTTCCCTAGGATCAATCGGGGATCACCAGTGGGCCTCTGACAGTTCTCGCCTCCAGCGTGTCCGGATGCCGAAAACCCCACATCATCCTCAACAATCTGTTCTTCTTGGCGAGTTCTTTGTTGATGTCGAAGGCGGCTTCCGCAAAATCGTCGCGAGGAATGTTTTGCAGGAAGGCGTCATCTTTCTCGTCGGCTGCCAACAAGTCCTCTACGGTCAGATACATGTAGTTGTTTTCTGGAAATGGTCCAATTGGCGGCGGCTGCTCGGTCGTCGAAGAATCCTCTGGGTCCGGAGTAGGTTGGGGAGCCCCTTTCGTCCCTGGCAGAAGGGGGATGGTCGGGTCGTCGGGAATATTTGCCCTAGCGGCGTCTACATCTACCTCCAAGTTAGGCTCGTAAGGCTCGTTCAGGTCGGGAATCGCGTTGCTCACCGCCGGCGGCGTGACGCCAGCCATCTTGGCGGGTAAAGTTGTTCCCGTCGGCCTCTAGTTGTCGCCCGCGGTCTCGCGGCGGTACGTGCTCAGCCCACCAAAGGCGATACTGCACAATCGCTGCCGTGCATTGCCTTCGCACCGTGGACCTAAAGGCCGCCCGTCTTTCGGCCCTCTCAACGTTCTCGGCGATCGTCAACTCCGCGGCAATGTCGGACAGTTCGGGAACTTCGGGAACTAAGGGCAGCGGATTGGTGTTCTGCTGGGTGATGTTCGGAGTGGTTGTGGTCAGCGACGCAATGGTCGGCGGGGTGTGAAGTGGCAATGTATCGTTCGGCGGGGTGTTGTTCGGGGGGAGGTTGGGCGGGGGGGTGTTGTTCGTCGGGGTGTTGTTCGGCGAGATGTTGTTAGACTGGTCCTTGGCCATTCGCAGCCGTACTGGCGATCACTGGCGACGACAATACTGGTTGTGGGTACGAAGAAAGAGGTCCGCCACTTTCGGATGTTGTCGACCTAGCTAGTCGTCGTAGTCGGAATGATCCTAAGTCGGAAGTCGGTACAGTTTGCCGACCTAAACGCACTCTACACCGGCGTGGCTCGTCGTCGACCCTGCACCACGCGAGGTCGGTCGGTCTCAGAGAAGCGCGAAAATGACTAAGGGGAATATGGCTCACCAGAATGAAAGTGAATGCAACACAACAAACAAGAGACGTGGCTCACCAGAATGAAAGTGAATGCAACGCAACAAACAAGAGACGAAATGGCATAGACACTTGGCGGTCGGTGGGACATAGCATAGAGTGCCACAGTCGCGGTTCGGGCGGACAGGTGTTGGCGGGCGATCCGTGGGCAGGTCTCCAACTCTACATGCAAGGCAGAACGGAATGTTGTGTTTAGGATGGGCGACGTGTGGCTCTGCGCGCCAGAGCAGTGGTCGGCCAGGAATCGCGGTGGGCCTCACGTCGCAGTCCGCGCCGATGGCAAGCTGGACGTCGTGGCACGGTGGCCGCGACCGGCGTCACCGACGTGTCGACCTCGTACGGAGGGTCCGTTGAGAGGTGCCATCGGGGTATTTTTCATCGGGATTGCCGGGTGATGCTCCTCGCCCAGGACGTGCACTCAGTTAGCCGGACAGGATGACGCAGGGTGGCGGATCCCTTTCCCGAGCCGCGTCGTTTTTGCACCCGGATGTAGTCGGGGCGTTGAGATATACCATCCTGTTTTCCAGCTCACACAAATTTCACGTGATTATCCGTGTGTTCTCACGTGGCACCAGCGTTTGGTTTTTGTTTTGAATTCCAAGTGCCCAAGTTCGGTGCTGGCTTTCAGATTGCCCCAACGTTTTCGTTTAGGGCGAGGAACATTTGAGATTTTTTCGAAACGAACGGTACGGTTCGGAAAAATACCGTTCTGAAACGTACTATAATGTACTCAAACGTAATGCGATCTGAATAGACCGTTTTATACCGACTTGTTTTTCAAAATGTTCCACGCCCTCACTGTAGTTTCTTGTTTCGCACTCCCTCCCACCCCGTCATCACTTCTCCTCCCCCACCAGCTGTTGCCTCACCCTCCCACCCACCACGTCATCGCCTCTCCCTCCCACCCACCTTTCAATCGCTACTCCCCTCCCACCCCGCCATCCTCTCTCGATTCCTAGAAATCCAAACCACATGACGGGGGAAGGGCGGGCCAAAGGCGGAAGCAGCACTCGGATCCTCTGCTTCGACCGGGATTCATTTTTTTTTGGCGAAACTCCATTTTGCCCGTGGCGAGACGATTTTACTCGGATTTGACTCGGATTCGGCGCAAAAGGGTGTTGGATCTTACAAAATCCAAACCACCTGATGGCGCAACGAAATGGGCGCAAGAGTGGTTACACTACCGGTTTGGATTATCGACGGTCGCACGAAAGCGACGTCGCAACCACTGTTGTACAGTATTTGTAGATAAACTTTGTTGTTGACACTTTGGTGTAATTCTGACAAGCAGAATGTCAAAATGGCTAAGTCAACATTCTATATGGTTTGGCTCATAACTCCATAATTTGTTGGTCATTTGCACACAAACATGGATTTCCAGCATCTCCTTGATGTCCTCTACCAGCGGGCATGAGTTTGTTATTTTGTCAAATTTGTTCCATTTTGTCACTTTTGGGTCAACTAAGATTGCTCATAGCACATGTAAAGTCATTCTCTGGGCATCACACACATGTGTTATGTGGTGACCATTTTTTTTTAGCATTTTTAGTGTTATGACACCTGTTCCAGCCCCCCTGAACATTTTCAGCTATATGCAAACTGATTTGGTGGACTTTTTCTTGCAAGGAAGTTAGTGTTGAGTTGCCTGCTGTGATGTGTCTGGTGAAATCACCCACTTCTCCTTGGGCAAATGAGCCCATTTTGATAGGGCACTGTCACAACATCTAGTCCTGATCCCTATCCAGTTTTCACTTCATTTCATCAAGGTTTGCCATGCCTTTCATGTTATATTCTGTAGGCGGGTGCAGAAATCTGTACAGAAATGCCTGGATTTAGGTTTCAATTGACATCACCCACTTTTCTTTGAGCAAATGAGCTGATTTTTATAGGGAACTCTCACCACACATATTCCAGACCCCCACATGAAATTCACCTCATTTACCCAAGGTTTGATATGTGTTTTAAGCCTTGTTGTGCAGCAGTCTGCAGAATTCTATGCAGAATTGCCTGGAATCAGGTTTCATTTAAAATCACCCACTTCTCCTTGAGCAAATGAGCTGATTTTTATAGGGGACTCTCAACACACATATTAAAGATCTCCATCTGAAATTCATCTCATTTACCCAAGGTTTGATAGGTTTTTAAAGCCTTGTTGTGAAGCAGTCTGCAGAATTCTGTGCAGAATTGCCTGGAATCAGGTTTCGATTGTAATCACCCCCTTCTCCTTGAGCAAATAAGCGGATGTTTATAGGGGACTCTCACCACACATATTCCAGACCCCCACCTGAAAATCATCTCATTTACCTAAGGTTTGATAGGTTTTTTAAGCCTTGTTGTGCAGCAGTCTGCAGAATTCTGTGCAGAATTGCCTGGAATCAGGTTTCAATTGAAATCACCCACTTTTACTTGAGCAAATGAGCTGATTTTTATAGGGGACTCTTAAAACACATATTCCAGGCTTTCACTTGAAATTCATTTCATTTACCCAAGGTTTGATATGTTTTTAAAGCCTTGTTGTGCAGCAGTCTGCAGAATTCTGTGCAGAATTGCCTAGAATCAGGTTTCAATTGAAAACACTCACTTCTCCTTGAGCAAATGAGCTGATTTTTAAAGGGGACTCTAAACACACATATTCCAGACTCCCACATGAAATTCATCTCATTTGCCCAAGGTTTAATATGTGTTTTAAGCCTTGCTGTGCAGCAGTCTGCAGAATTCTGTGCAGAATTGCCTGGATTTAGGTTTCAATTGAAATCACCCACTTGTCTTTGAGCAAATGAGCTGATTTTTATAGGGGACTCTCACCACACATATTTCAGACCCCCAAATGAAATTCATCTCATTTACCCAAGGTTTGATATGTTTTTTAAGCCTTCTTGTGCAGCAGTCTGCAGAATTCTGTGCAGAATTGCCTGGAATCAGGTTTCATTTGAAATCACCCAGTTCGCCTTGAGCAAATGAGCTGATTTTTATAGGGGACTCTCACCACACATATCGAAGACCCCCACATGAAATTCATTTCATTTACCCAAGGTTTGATATGTTTTTTAAGCCTTGTTGTGCACCAGTCTGCAGAATTCTGTGCGGAATTGCCTGGAATCCGGTTTCATTTGAAATCACCCACTTCGCCTTGAGCAAATGAGCTGATTTTTATAGGGGACTCTCACCACACATATTCAAGACCCCCACATGAAATTCATTTCATTTACCCAAGGTTTGATATGTTTTTTAAGCCTTGTTGTGCACCAGTCAGCAGCATTATGGGCAGAATTGCCTGGAATCAGGTTTCATTTGAAATGACCCACTTCTCCTTGAGCAAATGAGCTGATTTTTATAGGGGACTCTCACCACAAATATTCCAGACCCCCACCTAAAATTCACCTCATTTCGTAGACGTGTAGTATGTTTTTCACTCTCTCCTCTGCAGGCGGGAGCAGATCACTTTGGTGAAATGTACAACATTTGTTTTGTATTCAAATGCCACTGTTATACGGGTGCTAATGATAGGGCACTCATCTCACACTTATAGGATTACCCGTTATAGAATTGGGTGTGCTAATCATGCAAAGTTCATGCTTGTGTTTGTTTTATGGGTTACAAAAACTAGTACTATACGTGCTACACGAGTACCCCTATAGCGGTACTCTCGGATATAGGGTGTCATTCGGTTTCTGACACATGTGACAGGTCGCAGAGACAGCTCTATTTCCAGGTTGCGGAGGGAACCATGCGGATGGGATAGCTATACGTGGCAGCCTGTCATTAACCTGTCACAGGACACCATTCTTTTTTTTTAGGGGCTGCCCGTCACCATTTCGTACTAGGTCGAGGCAAAGCTGAGACCATGCAATGCACCGCAGAACATGCAATATGCTAACATGGCATATAAGGTTGGCAATCAACCAACAAGCAACTGAAGTAAAACATTTAGGAGAACAATCTGGCGACAAATAGGTAAATCATTGCAGAAGTATGCAAAGAATAGTTCGCAGATGTTCGAAGGGAAATGGTGAGAAGCCTAATATTTTGAGCCAGGGGGCAGAAAATTCTTACTACGCCTGGCGTTTGTAGCAAAGCCTTTCCCACCTTCTTTGAGGACAGAGCACAACCAATTCTACCAGCGTAGCAGAAGCTGGGATCAAGGTGGGTGCACCAAAGCTCAACGTCATTCTCGCCATTCCAATCTGAGTCGAGGTTCCACAACTAGCCTCACAAGCTTCCCTCTCATTCTAGTGTCGGCCTCTAATCCTGCAGGCGGACAGTGTGTGGTAGTAACCGTTTAGCTACCTGCCATCTTCTGGCATACTTACGCGATGTCGTCCCAGCTAATCACAGACGGCTGCGGATTGTTGGTACGACTAGGGCGCGAGTCTTATGAAAGGTTAATCGCTCGTCAGGAAGAGTGGAACGAGGCGTTGTTACTTTTCGGCCTTGTGTATGTATCCAAGCGCGGTTTGTAACGCACGCTGACTTCATCGTCACGTTGAACCCTTGTTTTTTTAGACAGGCACCTGCTATCTTCTTACCTCTGCGACATGTCGGCTTGGATGCAGGGAGGTTGCCAAGGACAAGATTGGGGATCCTCGCGTTCGTAGGGACATAAAGATTCTGGCTCCTACCGAGCATCGGCGTTTGAGGTCTGCCGTCCCGCGTGTCCCCAGTTGTGGCAGCGAACATCGGTCGCTGTTGGACTACCAGATGGTTTTAATACCCATGATATCAGAGTGAGTTTCCTGACATGGATCCGCAACGTTTGTCGATGACACCAGCTATCCTGCTAATCCAAACTTCCATGTACCGCAGAGTCCCTGTTGTTCACTCGACGGCGATCAGTCTCATGGTGCTGATGAACCCGCAAGATTTGTTAGCACATCCCCGCGGAGAGTACCGTACGCGTCTGCTACACTTCGACCCTAAATCTGCAATCCCAACCCATCGCCACAGCGAGCATGCCAAGGAGGTGTTCGAGTAAGTGTCACTCCTTAATCAGATGTGCGGTTTGTATGGACGCATGTTATTAATTGTTTGCGACCCCCTTGCCCTGCAGCTGGCTTATCCGACAACTAGATGTGGAATACAGCCGAGGTCGCAGGGTCTCTGGCAGCCACGCCGAAGCGGTGCAGAAAGATTTGAGGGCTCGCCTAGATGATCTAATTCTGGAGGAAGGCAGGGTAAGGAAGGCGGCTCTATTTTTATGATTTAAGCGTTGTATGATATTAAGCTTGTAAAAAGTAACGGGAGTGTCTGACAACCACCTTTTCACGCACATGTTGCAGATCAACAAGGTTCATGGACAGAGGCAAGTGGGTTCCGGGCTGCACGTTACCCATGTGTTCAGCAAGTTGCTGGACAAATGGGGGGATGTCATGGCGATTCAGTCTGTAGAGCCGATGATGGTCTTAGGGAAGGGGAAAAACAGCGCGAAAGAAATTCGGAGTATGCTGGAGTCGACCTGCAGGGCCTTCTTCGACCTGCAAGGAGTCCAGCTCCGTCCCGCCCCGGATGCAGTCATGACAACCCACTGTGCTCGAGTGGTAGAGAGCGCACCCGCACAGAACAGATCCGAAGCGGTAGAGGGACGGATAGACGTACCTGCCGCAAATCGGGACGCAAATCCAAGAGTTGGGTTTATTTCATATTCCCGCCGACCTGCACCGGGGGATGCACTACTGAGTGGCCCGACATCAAGGTCAGCCACTGCGGACGAGCGTGATAGGTCTGGAGTTAGGCAGCTCAGGTTTGCTGATCGGGTTAGGAGGCCGCGGGAACGCGAAGCACGGACGGAGACCGACTTGGCAAGTGTAGCAGATGAAGGCGAGGAGGGTGTAGAAGATCCACAGCTGCCAAGTCAGGTCGAACAGGCAGAGGAGCAGTGGAGGAAGGCGGCTGATGAAAAGCGGATGGGCGAAGCAGAAGCCAAGAGTAGACGGGCTGAAGAGATGCAACGGCGCAGTGATGGCGACACCGATCCTACCGTCTCTTTCCCGGGAACTGGAGACATACGTGAAGCATGGGAGCGTGGGGCACGAGCCGCTGCAAGGGCACACGTGGGAGAGGCAGGAGAGGAGCTCGCCAGCAATGTGCGGCAGCATATCGAGGAGGATAGGGGATACGTGAAAGTTCGCTTGCCCAGCCTAAAGTGGAAGGCGGCTGAAGAGGCCCGGAGAGGGGACGTCGACGTGCCAGAGAATTCGGGAGAGGCGAAAAAGAAGGAGGAGAGCAACGCTGGTGCTAAGGCTCATAAGATGGTGGAGGTAGAGGCGCACCAGAATGCAGAGGATGCGGCCCATCGGTTCGTCGATGCAGAGGCGGCACTTACGGCAGAGGACGGGGCGCCAAAGGAAGCAGAGTCTGCAGCGCAGCAGAAGGTGGGTGCAGAGGCGGTCAAGGGTGCGGAGGCAGTCGCGCGTAAAGAAGCGGGTGCAGCAGCAGAGCTGACGTTGGAGGCAGTCGAGCTGATGGTAGTGGAGGCAGTGGCGCAGAAGGAATCAGAGGCAATGGCGAGCCAGAAGGATGAGGCAGCGGCGCAGCAGAATGATGAGGCAGACGCACATAAGGAATCAGCGGCAGCAGCGCAGCAGAAGGATGAGGGTGCGGCGCCCAGGATGGTTGAGGCAGAGGCGTAGAAGGAATCAGAGGCAGCGGCGCAGCAGAAGGAGGAGGGTGCGGCGCCGAAGATGGTTGAGGCAGAGGCGCAGAAGGCATCAGAGGCAGCGGCGCTGCAAAAGGAGGAGGGTGCGGCGCCGAAGATGGTTGAGGCAGAGGCGCAGAAGGCATCAGAGGCAGCGGCGCTGCAGAAGGAGGAGGGTGCGGCGCCGAACATGGTTGAGGCAGAGGCGCAGAAGGAATCAGAGGCAGCGGCGCTGCAGAAGGAGGAGGGTGCGGCGCCGAACATGGTTGAGGCAGAGGCGCAGAAGGAATCAGAGGCAGCGGCGCTGCAGAAGGAGGAGGGTGCGGCGCCGAACATGGTTGAGGCAGAGGCGCAGAAGGAATCAGAGGCAGCGGCGAGGGAGAAGGATAAGGCAGCGGCGCTGCATATGGAGGAGGCAGACGCACATAAGGAAGGAGAGGCTCGGAATAAGGCAGAAGCAGCGGCGCGGCAGAAGGCGGAGGCAGAGGAGCAGAAACAGGCTGCGGAAGAGGCACTACAACTGGCTCGGGCAGAAGCGCGGAAGAAGGCTGTTGTAGAGGCGCAGAAGAAGGCGGAGGGTGAGGCGCAGAAGATGGCAGAGGCCGAGGAGCAGAAGCAGGCTGAGGCAGACGCACGTAGGAAGCCAGATGGAGAGGACGGTTCAGATGGGAATAAAATGGTACAGACAGAGGGACGGGAGACGGCGGGTGCTGAGGGGCACATCATCGCAGAGGAAGAGGGGCAGCATAACGAGGAGGCAGCGTCGCAGGTATTCGCATACCAAGAGACGCAGAGCATGGCAGAGACAGGGCGTCAAAATACTATGGAGGAGGTTCGTGTCGTCCCGGAGGCTGGAGTGGGGCACTACGAGGGAGATGCGCTGGAAACAGAAGAGGAGCAGAATGAGGAGGATACGGTACATCCGGCAGTCCGGATATTTTTGGGAGGAAGTCCGACGCGGGGACCAGGAACCGGGGTAGAGGGGCCATGGAGGGTGGCAGACGATGGGGCGCCTAGGGATACAGTGGATCTCAACAGGCAGAGGCGGCCCACCCTTCACCAGAGAGCAGTGGAGAGGAATCTCGGCCAAGGCGGGGTGGCAGAAGCGTTTTGGCAGGTAGAGTGGGTCGAGGCAGAGACGGCAATACGGCGGATGCTGCATCGGACGAGTACAGTCCTGGTCGAACAAGGTGACAAGTTCGTCGAGGCCGAAAGCTGGGACATAAGCCCGGCAAAGGTAACGCGTCGTCTGACGCTCTTAGCCCGAATGGTGACGCAGACGTTCTGCAACTTGGCGGCCCGCAACAGCAGCATCAGTCGCGACGTGGCCGATCTGACCGTCCATTACTGTCGCGACGCCCTGGCCAACCTGGAAGAAGTCCGCCATGGAAACGAGGAACGGCGGCGCCAAGCTGAAACGGCGGCCAGGTTTCGCGAGGAGGTGGACACGAGACTCTCCAACTTGCAGGAGAGTATCATAAGGATGAGTAATCAGGTTCGCCAGTCGGGAGGGGGGATGGCGGAGGGCCCGTTAAAGAGGGTGGAAGAGAGGTTGAGAGAGGTTCTGAGAGAAGACTCTGAGCGGCGGAACAGGGATAGACTGTAGGACGAGGAGCGGAGGCAGAAGGCCACGAGGAAGGAAGCAGACGCCGCAGAGAGACGGAAGAAGGAACAACAGCAGGAGGAAGCGCGTCGGCAGAAGGAGATGAGAGAGGGAATGAAGGAGATGAAGGAGGCGATGATGAAGGAGATGAAGGCAGAAATGAAGGAGATGAAGGATGGGATGGTAAACCAGATTGTGGGGAGGTTGAGCGCGGTTTTGCGAGAAAAATCCGAGCGGCAGAAGAAGGAGAGGCAAGTGGACGCGGAGCGGCGACAACAGCAGGACGCGAAGAGGAAACAAGTGGCGGACGACGAGGAGAGACACAAGAGGAAACAACTGGACGAGAAATGGCGGAAGGAGGAGGAGGTGAAGAGGAAGGATGTAGAGGCCACAGAGCGGCGGAGGAAGAAGAAACATCAGGAGGAAGAGCGACGGCAGAAGGAGGTGGAGGCGGGAATGAAGGAAGTGATGGAGGCTGTGAAGGAGATGAAGACGTGGATTAAGGGGTGGAAGGAGGGGATGCTAAGTGAGGTGGAAAAGCGGCTGTCAATGGTTCTGAGATTGGACGCAGAGCGGCGGCAAAAGGAGGAGCAGGGTAGGAAGGCAACGGAGGGAGATCGGCGACAGAAGGAGGATGCGCAGAGGAAGGAGGCAGAGGAAGCAGAGCGGGTGGAGAGGGAGAAACAACAAGAGATGGCGCTCCTGCAGAAGGAGGAGGCGCAGCGGAAAGATGCGGAGGAGGCCGAGAGGCAGGAGAGGGAGAAACAGCAGGAGATGGCGCGCCTGCAGGAGGAGGAGAGGCAGAGGAAGGAGGCAGAGGAGGTAGAGCGGCGTCAGAGGGCGAAACAGCAGGAATTGGACTGCCTGCAGAAGGAGGAGACGCAGAAGAAGGAGGCAGAGGAGGCCGAGCGGCAGCAGCGGGCGAATCAGCAGGAGATGGAGCGCCTGCAGAAGGAGGAAGCGCATGAGAAGGAGGTAGAGGAGGCCGAGCGGCAGCAGAGGGCGAAACAGCAGGAGATGGAGCGCCTGCAGAAGGAGGAAGCGCAGAAGAAGGAGGCAGAGGAGGCCAAGCGGCAGCAGAGGGCGAAACAGCAGGAGATGGAGCGCCTGCAGAAGGAGGAAGCGCAGAAGAAGGAGGCAGAAGAGGCCGAGCAGCAGCAGAGGGCGAAACAGCAGGAGATGGAGCGCCTGCAGAAGGCGGAGCAGTGCCGAGCAGAGAAGAGGGCCAGACTTGCATCCTACGCGGAACAGCAGCGGCAACTGGAGGCAAAGGCAAAGGCGATGGCTGAAGAGACGGAACGATTGGCAAGGGAGATGGAAGAGGAGGATTTGACCATGCAGGGGGAGGGGACCTGGACAGGAGCCGAGGAGGAAATAGCTGAGGGGCTGGGGAGTTTGCTGTTGATTGAGAGCGGGGAGGCGAATGTAGCAGAGGGAGTGGCTATTGTTCCCGGACAAAACGTAGAGGTGTCCAGGAGGCGGCCTAGACAAGAGGACAGGGAGCCGGAGGGTCATGCGGCTAAGAGACGGCGTGCAGCTGGAATACAGGAGTTGATACCCATAATCCAAGGGGAAAAGAAAGGGATGAAGATCGACAAGTGTGACAACAGGAAAAACGCCGCAGTGGACGACAAGGGTAAGACTTTGGGTGTCTGCCTGCCGTTCAGGGGATGCGGGTTCTCTCAACGGGGCGAGGGAGCTTTGCAGAAGTGGACGTCTGAGCAGACCGTCGGCGGCCGGAAGCGGAACCTCGGCTCTCACAAAACGGTGTGGGAGAGGGCATACACGGTCGCAGTCTGCTGGAAGTTCTACTTCCCGGATATTGACATGCAGGCATACGGCATGAATCCAAACCGTATTAACAAGTGGCGGGAAGACCTTGACTTCACAACGTGGCTTCCAACAGGGGTGTGGAGCGTCATCAACGAACTCCACCTGGACAAACCGAACGGGTGAGTGTTTATGTGATGGACAGTTGCAACTTCTAAACACCCGCGAAGTTCGATGGTTCTGATCTTGCGACACTGGTGTCTTGTGCAGATTCTCACTCGTTCAAACCAACACGGCTCTTCGGCAGCAGCAGGGGGATGGCTTTCAGGTAGCTGCCTGCGCTGGTGTCGGAATAACTGCGTGGCAGAAGATGGTGGGAGGCGTGGAGGGTGAAAACGGCTATTCGACGGAAGAACACGCAATCGGACTTGCCGCCACGTTGTCTGTAATGTGGGCCGCATCCACAAATGTGGACCAGACCCAGTGGGAGACGGGCGCAACAACAGCTGCACGTGGAACTTCTACGGCCATAGCATCTTCTGCTGCCAGATCGTCCACTGCTGCCACCGCCTCGTCGGCTGCCTCGTCATCTTCTGCAGCCGATGTGCCCTCTGCCGTCCACAATGCCCTTGCGACGCTTGCAGCCTCGGTTGCTTGCGTTGCGGTTGAGGCGATGAGGTCGGTAAAGGATCAGGAGCATGACAAGGAAGCGTGGATTCTGCCCCTGTCGGATGCGCTGCTGAAAGCGCTTCCGGCAGAGTCGCGAGCGGCCGAGGATGCGAAGCGGATGACGAGGGTGGTGGCAAAGGTGGTGACCTCTTGGTGCCTATGCAGCATGGCATCAAGAGGCCTTCGCCAGCACCAGGGCGTCTGGCTCGGAGTCCTGCAGAAGAAGTTGGGCGGCCGGGATACCACAACAGGGGCGGATAAGGAGAAGAAAACCAAGAAATCGTCCGCGAAGGGGAACGCGACGAAGGATGCGTCGACGGAGGAGAACACCGGCACTGGCGGCCAGGAGTGATAGAGGCAGACGGGTTATTTGGAGTTCTTGTTAGTACCGTAGTAGAAAAAGATTTTCCTTTTCGTTTTTTTAATTTGACCGTGTATAAATATAGGTGTTGTTGTATACAATACAATGAGAGATGTATTTTTGCTATGCAAACCTTCACTACACTAGCAAAATTTGTAGGGCGCGTATGGAGCTAGCAATGCAACCGATAGAACTCGCCATCAAAGGGAGGGCCAGGCGAATAAAATAATTGACGACAGGACGGCCTTCTACGACACTTAATCTACGTTTAATACTCGGCTTCTACGAGGAGGTAGAAGTATGGGGCTAAACAATCGCATAACATCTTGTCTTAGGGAGCACCTTGTTAAGAACGTATACGGTATTCCTATGCACAGACCTTTCTGCTTTGGAGATTGAATTCCTCGATGCCGAATTCTGGAGGCAAATTGGAAACGCCACTATACCGCAGAAAAACCCACGTATTGATAATATCTACCGTCATGGATAGGATCTTCGTTGCTACTAGTAGAATATGACACTCCTTTGCCCAGAAACATATGCTGAGACTGAATAAATCCACGCAAAAGTCTACCGAGTGACCTAAGAACACACATCTACAATCGTGAGAGTGAATTCATCGACGCCGCTCTATAGAATAACATCGTATACGATACGACATGACTCCGCAGAATTTCGCCCGGTGTATACCATCGATGTGTGCTTCATTGCATACACCAGAAAAACATTCTACGAAAAACAGCGCGTCCATGGAAGAAGGTGGCATACAAGCCCCAAATCGGGCTTCTACAGAGACAGACAAGTGCCTGTAGTGCATATTCAGTACAACCGGAATAAAGTACCCAAATAACTAAACCGCCCCACCCTTAAGGTACATGCCCCCTCATTTCTGCTCCTTGCGTTTCGACGCTTCGCCCTTCGCCTTTTCCCGTTCCGCCTTCTTCGCCGCAGCGGTTCGTTGTTTCTCCTCTTCCGCCTTCTCCTGCGCCATGTGTTCCTTGTGGATCTCCTCCCACTCATCATCACCAAACAGCGAAGTTGCCCACTCCTGGTCGCGAAGGCCCTTTTTGACTAACAGCCAGCCCACTCTGCGTTGCGCCAAGTCGTTGACGGTCCTCTTTTCCGTCGACAAACCGGTCTTCTGTTTCTTGATGGTCGGAGTCTCATGCAGCACAGCCAGGCCGTTGGTGAATTCCGTGAAGTTGCACACGAGTAAAACCTCGTCCAGCAGCTTAATGGCCGTTGCGGTCGCCGCCTCGGAGCTGTCTTTTCTTAGCATCTCCACGGAAACCATGACACGATGCACGCGACGCATCTTTCGCTCGCATGCACCCACAGCCATCCCGGGCGTACCTTTGACAGCGAACCGGGAATATGCAGTGATGAAGATGGAATTCTTGTCCTTCTTCTTATACCGGTCGAACTCTGCAAAGACTTCGCGCAGTGACCGGCCGCCCATGATGAGGCTTGGCTGCACCCACACTTTCCAGGCAGCAGCAACAGTGGTGGCTTCGCGCCAAGACACAACGACCACGACGAAGAATTCTTCGACGGCAACTGGTGCTTTGGATGCGTCCGTTGCCTTGTTTCCTCCTGTTCCCGCGCTCTTCGACGATCCGTCGATCTCTGCAGAGGTGTTTGCCGCGTCATCCCTGGCCGCAACAGACCTCCTGTATGCTTCGAACTCTGCAATGACCCGAGCCTTGTCCTCTCGCTCAGCGGCGAGTTTCTCCCTCAGTTCAGCGTTCTCCATCGCCAACTGCATTTCACGTCCTCTCAAAATCCCAAGCTCCTCCTTGAGCATATTGGCGGTGAGGTGCATCTTATGCAGCTTCTCTTCTGCAGTCGTGCGAAAAATAGCGTCCTGCAGAAACCAACACGGCAGAACTCAGCATGAACGAATAACTCCTCTCTACCACTAATAGCAGGCACTTACTGCTTTGGCGGTGGTTTGGCCGGTTGCCCGAAGCTTCTCGCCCTGGAAGTGAGAGATAGCGACCAGGTACGCCCACTTTTGGAACAGCGGGTGGCTGCACAAGGGGCTCATCTGCACATATGGATGCCTCTCGCAATTGCACCGCGGGTTTCTCACGCCGTGCTGATGGCAGAACGCCCACATCATAGCCAGATCCTGTGCAACAACGAGGCGTCCGATGCTCGCGAGGGTGTCTAGGAACCTCGCCCCCGCATAGTGCCTCTTCAGCGGATCGGTCTGCGCAGCGTTCCATTCTTCGACCTGACGGGACGAGTATGCAGGAGAAATGGGACGGTTCATAATTGCGTATCAAAATTAAGCTACGAACGCGAAGACTGTACACGTACCTTCTTCCAACCCTCTTCGACCCAGGGGAAAATGTGAAGCCTCAAGAGATCCAAGAGCTGCAACCACTCATCCTTCTCCTTAACCTTATGCCGCAGAAGCTTGGCGCGGGCTCTGCCGATGTAGTAGTCTCCACGATCCCCGCTGAATCCTGCCAGCAGCCAAACCGGCTTGAACGGTATGCCGAACACATAACACCTCCGCAACTCCCCCTGCGCCCATCCGCCCAGAGTGCCGATATCGTTGTCGGAGCAACCGTCGTCATGGAGTTGTTGCGCTCCGGATCTGCGGAATGCATGTGTTACCTTGCTCAGAATCCATCTCGCCTTCGTCATGGCCCAATTAATCCAGGTGTTATGCATTTTGTAGTGCATCTCGTCTTGCTTCTGCTTTCCCTGGTCGCCCTTCTTCAAAGAAAAGAAGAGGTGCGCTTTCGTCCACAAGATCGGTTCAGAAAAGTCGAGAGGCTCGACGATACCGGGGCCGTAGCGCAGAGGAACGAGGTTGTAGATGAAATAAAGCCACAGGAACACATGGCCCATTCCGCAGAGCCGCCAGTCCCTATGCCTTGCAAGAAACTGATGACTCAGCTTGTTGTTGGGGTTGGTCTTCGACTTCTTGGAAACAACGACGAGTATGAAAACGTCTAGATAGTCGTCGAGGTGTGATGTGCTCCGCGTCATGCGGACAAACAGGTTTCCAAGTCGAATCTTTCGAATGCTGCACCCTCTTCCGAGAAATTGGTGTCCGAGGTGCATCATAACCGGGACTTGCAGAGCCTTCCAGAGAGGAAGCGAGATTTGTGACGGAGGCGTCCGCCACCAGATCTCTAGGAGCTCTTTTCGCAGAACAGTAAGATGCAGCGTCCTATACTGGCTTCCCGTATAGCAATCACCAATTGATCCACGGGTTTGATCTCGACCATCCCTGCATAGAATAGCACAGTAATTATGTAAACCATGTACAACAACATTCACACAAACAGAAAGCACACGTATATGTTACTCACGCGACTTGCTCGTCGTTCAGATCCTTCAGCTTGACTTTGAGATAATCCCGAGCATCCTTGATCCAGTCCTTGGTCAGTGTGATAGAGAAGCCGTAGAGCCTCGCCTCGCACCTGGCAAGGCATCCCATTGCGTTCATCTTTGCCTTGATCATTGAAGCCGTGCACCCCTTTGCCTCCTTCCCCACATATTTCTCGACGTCTGGCCGCATTTTTCCACGCAAAAACTTTGCCTGCTCGTCAGTTTCGCAGAAGAGATACTCGATGTATCGGCCGAGCCTCCATTCCGTGATTCGCGGCCCGTGCAGATGAATCTGCCACTCGTCAGAGCTGCACGACCACCCATCGTTTCCCAAGTTATTGCTCATATGAAACCCAACCTCGTCATGCAGAGAGGGAGCAAGGCTATCTGCCACAGGGACATCTACCATAGTTGCCATGAAGATTATCACCCACCACTTGAAGTGTAGAAAGTGGAAACAATAGTGCCTTCTCGTCCCGGCCTCTATCAGTCGAAGCGGGATTGTTGAACGCCGGATCCTGCTCTCCTTTTCCGCAACGTCGGTCTGCCGCTGCGCATTTCCGGGGGCCGCAGCCTGCTCGACATGGCTCGCAGAATCGGGAGGTCGTCGTCGTCCCGGCGATGATTCTCCCTCCTCTTCTGAGTGATCTCCATCCTCCTCGTACCGTTCTTCGGGTGCACCGGGTCGTGGGCGCACTCCATCGCCTCCCGGCCCTTCACTCTCTTCTTCACTCCCCTGGACTTGAATCCGGACGGATGGTTCGTAGAGACCACCCTGAAACAAATCCTCCTCGGTCGCCTCAAACTCGCTATCGTTCTCGCGATCCTGTGCGTAGTCTTGGTCAGTATTTTCAACGTCCTCCAGGTCTTCTTCTCCATCCTCTGCGCCCTGGGCTGCCATGGGGCGAGAGTGGACCGAGCTGTCGCCCATTCACAGATTCCTAATTTATTAGCTAGCAACCGAGACTAGACGAAAGAATCGAATGGTGTCAGCCGCGGTAGGTGGTAACGATTCGCAAGTGTGCAGATAACATAGGCAGAATGCTTAGTGGGCTAAGCGCAGAATGTCAAGAATAATATATATTTCTATATATTGTTTTGTAACTGCCTGTAGTGTAGACTAGTGTAGTTATATAATGTTCTGTTTTGGTGGTGCACCTTTCATCTTGCCTATATGTACTGCTCGCTCTATAGTGAAAACCCTTCTTCTCTTTTCAATTCTCTCGACTCTCCTAAACTTACTCGAACTCAACTAGCTATGGCTCCTTAGCCTAGCTAAGCTTTTGACATGGTATCAGAGCACGTAACGCTCCTGGACTCCTGCTTCCGCTGCTACTAAGTGTTCTGCACGCCCCGTGGTGTGCCCTACTCTCGCGGCCCCGCCGCCCTTCTTAAGCGGCCCCGCCGCCCTACTGTCGCGGCCTCGCCGCCTCTCTGCTGTCGCGGCCTCGCCGCCCTACTGTCGCGGCCCCGCCGCCCTCCTGTCGCGGCCTCGCCGCCCTGCTTTAGCGGCCTTGCCGCCCGTACCAGCCCGTCGCCGCCCTTCGCGGCGTCACGTACCGCCCGTACGACGCGCCGCCGTCCGCTGCGGCCCCGTCGCCGCCCGTACCGGCCCGTCGCCGCCCGTCCCGGCCCGTCGCCGC